GGGGGGCGGTTTTGGGGTACTCGGTCTCTAAAAGGTTCGCCATCACTGATCTAAGCAGTAGCTTTACGATTACCCAGTTCCAGCAAGCATCCTGAATTGGCTTCCTCTAGTGGTGAATGGCATGTGGCACAACATATTGTAAAAACCCTGCCAATTACTCCCCTGACTGGTACTGTAGATGTACAAATCCCAAGAGGCAGATTGGTATAAAGAGCCCAGACAGAATCATGTGCCAAAGACAACTGTATTTTTTCAGAATTAGCTTCTCAATTTCCCTGGGGCGGAAGAAACCCAGCATATACCACCAACGCAAGAGACGGAATGGGCATCCCTGGGCATTTTCATATTGACTGAAGGGTCTGGTTTCCTTCCTGTGCTGGAAGAGGGTGTTGGAAAGAGCGCAAAGCATGATCTGGGATCAACAAGATAGTGAAATACTCAAGCCCGAGGATATCCACATTCAAAAAGAGGACGCAGACTGGTGTATTTTGGCCTGGCCGGACTGTTGCAGATTTAGGAAAACGGTAATATAATTAAAGCAGAAATGCAGGACGGTAATCTCACCCCAGTGGGAAAAAGAATTTCTGAATCAACTTGGTGCCTACTCTCTGTTCCCTTCCCAGGGACCGAATATAGGAATTCCCAGTGCTTGATTTTTAAGCCAAATACTTCCCATTTCATCACTACCTGAGTGATCAGGAACTCCAACTATAAATACGGGATTAACTGTCCGTTTCTAAATTGAATGGATGTTTTCTTGCTAGTTATCTCTACGAAGTATTGAAGAAAAACATAAATGCTGATTACAAAACTGTCATGTGCAAAATTGTAAACTTCCTCTCCTATTGCACACCTATCCAGTTGTTAAGAACTGTAGCAGCGGGTGTCTTTTAAAAGATGCACCAGATGTCTATAGAGATTCTCAATCATCCAGGTCATCATTGTCCCAAAGGTGCTTTTCTGAAAGGCAAATGGATGTTCTTGGGTTTTTTTTCTCTTGAAAACATTTTGCTTCTCATCTAAGAAGCTTCTACAGCTCAGTTCAAGAAAAAAAAAAAAGCAAGAAAGTCCCGTGGCCTTTTGGAAAAGCCCCTTTGAGATGCACCCAAAAAAATTGGGGGGGAAAAATGGGACTTTGATGTTATATTTTGACAGCAGCAAGATTACTTTAGGCTCAAAAATGGAAGGACACTTTGATTCCCACAATGGACAAATGGCTGCAAAAGTTGATGGAGTTAGCAGAGATGGCTAAATTGATTCCTCTGATTAAAGAAAATAACACAATTTTGTTTCTACTTGGAAACTGTTTTTGGACTTTGTGCTTGAGGTGTAAACAAAATGAAACTTTGATTTTGAGTTTTCTGATGATTAGGAAGGTTTGTTGTTACAGATTTGACTAGTGTATATTATTATATAAAAGTAAAAAGTTGAGATGTTATGCTATTCTACTGCACCAAAAGGAGTTGGAAGTCAATTCTTTTTTTCTTTTTCCCTTCTGCCCTACACTTTCCCCTTGCCTTGTTTTCCCCTTTTCTTTTGTGTTGTTGCATTTTATATTACATTTTGATAAACTAGTAAAATCTTGAAAATAAAAAAAAAGAGTTGAACCAGATCCCCTGGTCTTTCTGGCGTGCAAGAAAGATTTGTGTCCTGCATCACTGTTAGATGAGAAAATGCAGGAATTGCATTTGATCCCAGCAGTCCCAGCATCTAGAAAACTGCTAAGGATCCATTACTTTCCCTCAATTTTTTTTGCCTCTTTTGATTGACTAATTAAGTGAAATTGTTTTTGACTCCTAGCAACCACATAGGTTTTCTCCCTGCCAATCTATCCTAATTCTGATCTTTCGGGACTTCTAATGTTGCACTCATCACCTCCATAACTTAATCCATCTCCCTTGCTTCTGGTCGTCCTTTTTTCCTCTTTCCATCCACCTTTCCTAGTCTCAAAACCCTCCCTAGAAACCTGGGCCTTCACATAACTTGTCCAAACTAGGATAATTTGAATTAGGTCATTTGCTCCATATCAGCTCTGGGTTGATATGCTCTATGTCAGTGATGGCGAACCTTTTAGAGACCGAGTGCCCAAACTGCAACCCAAAACCCACTTATGTATCGTCGGGTGCCGGGTGGGCATGGCCCATTGGGTGGGTGTGGCCCATTGGGTGGGCGTAACTGCGGTGATAACGGCAGACTGGGTGGGGCTAAAAAGTTCAATCAATCAATTCCAACTTTGCGAGATCTTTTTTTTTTCCCCACGAGAAGTTGAAATTGACTGATTGATTGAACCTTTTTTTTTTTTGCACATGGCGGCGGAGGCCTAAAGTAAAAACGTTTTATAAAACCCAGCTGAAGGCTTAGGACTGGGGCGACGGTGCGTGTGCCCACAGAGAGGGCTCTGAATGCCGCCTCCTGCACCCGTGCCATAGGTTCGCCACCACGGCTCTATGTTCTACTTGTTTGTTTCCTTGGCTGACGATGGTATTCTCAGGAGTCTTCTCCAACACTAAAGTTCAAAGGCATAAATAGTCTTAGTATTCATTTTAATCTGTTTGATTTATGGAAAGCCCTTCATTTACGACCCCCAACTGGGACCAAATTTCTAATGCAAAGCAAAGCAGTTGGCAAGTGAAGTGCACCTGATTTTAATCATCTTTTTGTGCCACAGCTGTTAAGTGAATCACTGCAGTTGTTAATCCTGCGGTCCTTAAGCAAATCCAACTTCCCTCACACACACACCCCCATTGATTTTGTTTGTCAGAAGCTGCTGAGAAGGTCGCAAATGATGATCAGGTGACCCCTGGGCACTGCAACCATCATAAGTACATGTTGGTTGCTAAATGCCTGAATTTTAATCATGTGATCATGATACTCTGGGGATGTCACAATAGTCATAAATGTGAGGACTGGTCGTAAGTCACTTTCTTCGGTGCTGTTGCAACTTTGAACGGTCTCTGAACAAACGGTTGTAGGTCAAGGACTACCTATAAACTTGTCAAATGAAGGGCTCAACATGACCGTCACAGAATGAGTGCGGTCTTCAGCTGCCGCTTTGGTTCTGAAAGCGCTGGGTTTCCGGTTCTCTAGGTCAGCAGTATCTATATTTATCCGTTTTTCTTTCTACTTTTCTGCTAGAAATTTGATAAAGAAAGCAAACATGGACAATGTAATTTTGTCTGCTTTGTTGCACAGAAATGAGGGCTGGGCCCATGGGGAGAAACGTGAAAATAACTTGATTTAAGTGTGTGTGTGTGATAAAATAAGAGGAGAAAGGCACCAGAATGAAGGCTGTGGCTTTGTGTACAAAGAAGCACTAGTAAAATGAAGTTCTTTGGGGTGGGGTGGGGGGGTTGGGTCATAAAGAGAGAATGAATAAGATTCATATTGCAGACTCGAAAGGAAGAATGAGTTGGTCGAGACCGAGAAAACTGTGGTCAGATGAATTTACCGAGTTCCTCAGAAGAAGAGAGGTGAGAAGAACAACAGGAAATGTATGGAAGCAAGGAGAAAAAGATCAGCAGAGAGTAAATTATGGTGGTATAAACTTAATTTAGCTAGATTTATCATTCCCCTGATTTGCTATTGCTGTACTTTGCGTAACTATGAAAGCGTTCTAAGAAAGAAATGAATAAAACACTAGCCAAAAAATGAGAATTGTGTTTGTGTGTGTGTGTGGTGTGTGCAGTATATCAGCAGGCCCTTTGAAGTAATTTATGACAATTATTTCTCATCCTCAGCAACATTAAGATGTATGGACATGCCTGGGGAATTCTGGGAGTTGAAGTCCACACATCAAGGAGTTGCTGTGCTTGAGGAAACACTGGCCAGGTTGTGCTTGACTTATGACAGGTCATGATGCACCTCCTGAGTTATTTATGACTTGGATTCAGAGTTATGATGGCTGCGGCCTCACTACTGTCACGTGATCTGTTTTGGGGCACCTGGAAACCAGCCCATGTTTACATCCATTTGCAGAGTCCCACTGGATGGGACCACAATATATAACTTTTTTTTTTTTTGCCAGCCACTGGCATTTACTTCTGATTTCCAGCAAAATATGCCCACTGATTTTGCTTACCAACCACATTTGCTTAATGACCACTGCAAGAGATTGTAAAACCAGGCAAGGTCACTTGGTGATCTGCTCTGTATAAACAGAGGCATAGAATCAAAATTACGTGAAGTACCACTTTATAAAGCCTTAGTAAGGCCACACCTGCAATACTGCATCCAGTTTTGGTCACATTACAAAAAAGATGTTGAGACTTTGGAAAAGGCCTGGAAACTAAAATGTAAAGGCCTGGAGACTAAAACATATGAAGAATGGTTGCAGGATTTGGGTATGGCTAGTCTAGAGAAAAGACAGACGGGGCAGAGACCTTATAGCAGTATTCCAGTATTTGAGAGGCTGCCCCAAAGAGAAGGGGGTCAATTTATTCTCCAAAGCACCAGAGGGCAAGACAAGAAACAATGGATGGAAACCAATCAAGGAGAGAAGCAACCTGGAATTAAGGAGAAACTTCCTAATAGTGGGAACAATTAACCAGTGGAACAGCTGGCCTCCAGACGTTTTGGGTGCTTCATCACTGGAGATTTTTAAGAAGAGACTGGACAGCCATCTGTCTGAAACGGTACAGGGTCTCCTGCTTGAGCAGGGGGTTGGACTAGATGACCTCCAAGCTCTAGTCTGATTCTAATTCTAATGTGTCTGCGCTGCATTTGAGCGCGGCAACGGAGTTTGGCCAAGCCGGGTTGAGCGCGGAGGATGAAGAAACCACGATAGGATCCAGACTCAATTGGAAGGGCGGCGGTCCGAGGCCTGGGCGGTCAGTGGCGAGAAGGACCCCCGCAGCCCTCTTCTCCCCGCGCAGCCGCTCACTTCGGCCGCGCCCCCTTCCCTCTCCAAAGCGACGCCTCGACACCAACTTTGGGGAAAGTTTTTCGGGCGACTTTCCGCCGCGGCCCCGTCGTTCCTCCTCGGCCCGTCCCGTCCCGCTCTCATGCTCTCCCAGTACGGGCACCGCGCCTTGGGCGCGCTGATGCTCTTGGGCACCGCCTCGGGCTTGGTGGCCGTGCTGGCCTCGATGCTGCTCTTCCAGATCCAAGGAGGCGCCGTCGGCAACCGCGACCTGACCGAGCGGCTCCGGGCGCTGCTGCGGCCCATCTCGGCCGGCCTGGCCTCGCTCGGCTTGGTGCTCAGCCTGAGCTGCCTGCTGCTCAGCCTCCTGCACGGCTACTGCGGCGCCGAGCGATGCGCGGCCTCCGGGGGCGGGCTGGGCAGCGAGAGGTGCGTATGCGGGGGAGTCTCTCTTCTCCGAAGGGCCCCGAAGCGACGCAAGGTCCCCTCGCCGCGATCGGGGGTGGCGGAGGCTTTTCCTGAGGGTGGCATGTTCAGAATTGGGTTTCAAGGGGGGTGGGAAGAGGGGGGAGGCACTTAGTTGGCGCAGAGCATGTAACTTGGGTTAACTTCTGCTAAGCCACGATGCGTTGACCTCTGCTTTGCTGAAGAAGCCACCCCCCCCCCCAAGCTGGGCTACCATATCACATCAAGCGTTAAACTACGATTTAACGCTCAGCTCCATCCAGTCAACCCGACCCAAGTCCAGAAATTAAGGCATTTCAGGGTCGTAAAAAGAAGAGTGTGGTTCAGCATCATACAGGTGGTCCTTGACTGACCACAACAGCCCCAAATTTCCATGGCTAAGCAAGAAAGACGGTTGTTAAGTGAGTTTTGTCCCAGTTTACGACCTTTCTTGACACAGTTGTTAAGGGACTCGCTGCAGTTGTTAAGTTAGCAACATGGTTGTTAAGTGAACCTGGCTTCTCCACTGACTTCGGTCGTCAGGTCACAAAAGGTGATCACACGACCCTGGGACACTACAGTCAATAATAATAATAATAATAATAATAATAATAATAATAATAATAATAATAATAATAATAATAATAATAATAATAATAATATAAAGTTGGAAGGGACCTTGGAGGTCATCTAGTCCAACCCCCTGCTCAGGCAGGAAACCCTATACCATTTCAGACAAATGGCTATCCAGTCTCTTCTTAAAAACTTCCAGTTGCCAAGCATCTGAATTTTGATCACATGACCACAGGGATGCTGCAACTATTATGTGAAAAATGGTTAAGTCACTTTTTTCAGTGCTTTTGTCACTTTGAATGGTCACTAAGTGAACGGTTGTAAGTCGAGGACTACCTATATCCTGCTTTTCAGTCATGCTGCTGGCTGGGGAATTCTGGGAATTGAAGTCCACATACCTTACGGTTGCTAAGCTTGAGAAACACTCTCTAAAGTCAGAAGTAGCCTATCCTTGAATACTGTGCAATATTATGGAGGCAGATAGAAAGGGCAGCCCTGCTTCTGAGCCTCTTAGAGGCTACTGCTACCAGAATAAATAAGATTTTCCAGGTTTCCGTGTGGAGCAGAAGGTGAGATTAGGTAGCCCACAAATCCTTTTTTATAAACCAGCTTAATTGTGTTCTTAATGCTTCTGGTAAGTGCTATTATTCATGATAGTAAGAAGAGAACCTCTGCATCCAGGTGTAATATACCTTTAGATACTATATGCTGTCAGTCAAGAGACACTAACTATCTTTGAATTCTACTTGATCAGATCTAACAAATGACTGGGAGTCACCCAGAGTTGGTTATAAGATGGGTGGCTATATAAATGTGTTAAATAAATAAATACATAACAAAGAGAAAGAACACAAGGGTGAAGTCAAGATTTGGGGGCATCAATTTGTCCAATAATAGAGAATATATGTAGTTTATGATTGGCCTGTGAGTTGACTTGGTCATTTTCTTGCAGATGTTTCTTTACCTGCCTAGATACTTCTCAATCTTAGCAGCTTTAAAATATGCAGACTCCAATTCCCAGAATTCTGCAGTGAACAAGCTGGTTGGGGAATTCTGGGAATTGAAGTCACCGCATCTTAAAATGGCTGAAGTTGAGAAACACCATTATAGGGCAGAGGTCTCCAGCCTTTTGGGCCCCAGGGACCGGTTATGTGGAAAGAGGTTTTTCCGTGGACCGGAGAGGGTGTGGTTTTGTGTGCTGCCTGCATCCCACGGATGGGGCTTTGCTTGTTTGTGTGGCCCGGTTGCGGGCATGCCACGGCCCCATACCGGTCTCCGGACCGGGGGTTGGAGACCCCTGCTATAGGGAATCAATCCAAAGGTGACCAAATTAAGCAGGTATCTGTTGCCTTTTGGGCTTGATATAATTTTAAGTCTTTCTTTTGGTTTTGATTTTGATTGAACTAAACCACACGATGGTTGGGTTCACATCATACATTGAACCAGGGTTAAAAAAAACAGAGCAGATGTATTCACATTAAATCCTGTACCTAAATAAAGAAACCTGAGTAGGGCTTATTATAATAGTCTGATTCACAAAACACGCTGAACTACAATCCAAGTTTGGCTTGTCCAACATGTGCAAACCCACGCAGGCTCTGGGATGCTTGTAGCTAATATTTACATATTTCCAAGGCCGACAAAAATTCATTAAAACTGCAACAGAATCATAGGGGGATAATTTTTGTATAAGTCTCCCATTCTAGAGTTTTGCTCCAGGATCACATCAGCCTTGAGGGATTGCTCACATTATTGTGCAAAGTGCAATACACACCAACCACATGCGTGTGCCAGCCTTTATAAAGTGAAATTCCATTTTAATGAGCAAGTTTGGAACCCAGCCTACTGGCACTTACTCTATTCATTATGCTTTCATCTCAGCTCCTCTATTTTTCCTGAGTTGCTGTGGTGATTCTGAATTAACGCTTCAAATGTTCTTTCTGGATTCCATCTCATACCTTATCTCCCTTCCCTTCCACTCTCTTCTCTCTCTGTCCCATAATCTACATTAAATTCCTTTCCTTTCCTTCTCCCTCCTTCCCGTTTTCCCTTTCCTTTCCCTCTTCCCTTCCCTTTCCCCTCCCCTTCTCTTTCTGTTTCCTTTCCCTCTCCTTCCTTCCCATTTTCCCTTTCCCTCTTCCCTTCTTCCTTTCTTTCCCTTCCCTTTCTCCATTTCCTTCCCCTTTCCTTTCCTTTCCTTCCCTTCCCTTCCCTTTCCCTTCTTTCCTTCTATGCCTGCCAAGGAGAGCAGTGGGGTGGAATTCCTTCTCCAATTGACAAAGCAAGACTCAATACTTGAAGACACCAAAAGGCAGGCTGTGATTCCATTCCCCCCTTCCCTCCCTCTTGGCCTAAGGCTCCCTGTGAAGATGAAGTTTCAACCCTGGTAACCAGCTGCTCCTTTCCCCCCCCCCCAAAAAAGCTTCACATTCTTACTCCCCGGTAACTGCTTGAATTCCTGCATGTTAAAGAGAACTGCAATAACTCCAACAGAACACCAGCTCCGGCCCAAGTAAGAATTTAAAAGAGCAGTTTCATTAAAAGAAATGGGTCAGATATTAATCAAAAGCCATCAGTCTTTCGGTTTGAGCTGACCCCCCCTTCCCAAAACAGAGGGGCTATTTCACCCATGGATACGGTGGATGGCTGGGTTCCTTTGGCAGCTTCAGCGCAAAGTTGCTTTTTGCACTGTTCACAATTTTTCCGAGGACAATCAAATCTACAGTACAAGGAGTCTTTGACTTATGACAATTGGGACCGGGACTTCTGTTGCTAAGAGAAGTGGCTGTTGAGTTGAGTTGCATCCAATTCGACAATTTGTTTTGCTATGGTCGTTAACCAAATCATGTTTGTTAAGTGAATCACGCGGTTGTGAAGCAAATCTGGCTTTCTCCTTTGACTCTGCTTGTCAGAAGCCGTCTAGGAAGGTCGTAAAGGGTGACCACATGACCCTGGGATGCTGCAACCATCGTAAATATACACCAGTGGCCAAGGGCTGAAAGTTTGATCACATGACCATAGGTTTCCTGCGACGGTTGTTAAATGTGAAAAATGGTTAAGTCACTTTTTTCACTGCTGTTGTTAACTTTGAACGGTCCCTAATGAAAGTAAGTATGTTGAGGACTCTCTGTATTTTAGGACAATATGTAAGTAATAATAATAATAATAATAATAATAATAATAATAATAATAATAATAATAATAATAATAATAATAATATAATAGGACAATATGTAAGTAATAATAGTAGTAGTAGTAGTAGTAGTAATAATAATAATAATAATAATAATAATAATAATAATAATAGCAGCGCCTTGGGTGCAATCCCAAAACAACTGGAGCACCACTTGAACACCATTGGCATTGACAAATTCGCCATTAGTCAATTGCAAAAGGCGGCCTTATTAGAAACTGCTTCCATCCTGCGATGATCTCTGAAATACCATCAAACATCCACATCTGCCTATCCCAGGTCCTGGGTAAGGACTCGATAGGTAGACAAAAATGCCAAATCCAGTCTGAACATCTGGCTGACTGTGCGACGAATAATAATAATAATAATAATAATAATAATAATAATAATAATAATAATAATAATAATGTTGGAAGGGACCTTGGAGGTCATCTAGTCCAACCCCCTGCTCAGGCAGGAAACCCTATACCATTTCAGACAAATGGCTGACAAGGCTCTTCTTAAAAACTTCCAGTATTGGAGCATTCACCGCTTCTGGAGGCAGGTTGTTCCACTGGTTAATTGTTCTCACTGTCAGGAAGTTTCTCCTTAGTTCTAGGTTGCTTCTCTCCTTAATCAGTTTCCATCCGTTGTTTCTTGTTCTGCCTTCAGGCGCTTTGGAAAATAGCTTGATTCCCTCTTCTTTGGGGCAGCCCCTGAGATATTGGAAGACTGCTATCATGTCCTCCCTCGTCCTTCTCTTTATTAAACTAGAGTCAACAGACATACCCAATTCCAGCAACCGTTCCTTATATTCATCAACATTATAATAGGTTTGCACGTGAGATGTTTGGAGCAGGGATCTGTCTACTTGGCAGACAAAAATAATAAAAATATATTGCTCTTATGTCACAGAGGTGACTGGTTCCTGCTGGAGAGCCGAAAAGTGAGACATGTAGCTGTGGGTGTGTTTTGCTGCGCTGTTTTAGCCTATCTAGCAGGTGAGTAGTTTCTCCCTTCCCTTTCTGGTTTCCCTTGCCTGTCCCTTCCTAGAAGAAATGTTCAAAAACTGGTTTGAAAGTTATGTTTGGTGTAAGGAAATAAAATTTCCCATCCATATAACTTCTGGAGTATCGAGAACCATGCTTTAAAAACAAGTTAGGCACAAAGGAAAGGCACGGAGAGAAGTTACAAAAGCATCCAATTCTATTTTATTTTCTATTTATCTGTGGTCTATGTTTTCATTCAAATTGTATTTTTTAGAGCTTATTTTATTATAAACGGCACAGAGACGTCTGGCTATTGGGTGGTTTAATTTAAAATACATAAATTGCAAGGAAGCATACAGGTAGTCCTTGACGTAGGACCACAGTTCAGTCCAAAATTGATGTTGCTAAGTGAAACCTTTGTTAAATGAGTTTTGCCCCATTTTATGAACTTTCTTGCCACAGCTGTTAAGAGAATTTGCTACAGTTGTTAAGTTAGTAACATGGTTGTTAAGTGAATTGTCTTCCCCATTTGTCAGGTCACAAAAGCTGATCACATGATCCTAGGACCCTGCAGCCCTCATAAATATGAACCAGTTGCCAAGTGTCCGAATTCTGATCATGTGACCATGGGGATGCTGCAATGGTAGTAAGTGTGAAAAACGGTCATAAGTCACTGTTTTCAATGCTGTTGTAACTTTGAATGGCACTAAATGAACCGTTGTAAGTTGAGGACTACCTATATAGGCCAAGCCTTCTTCAGTATGCCAATTGCTGGGAGAATTGTGAGTCAGTGTGTTGAGGGAATCCAATTCTTAGCATCTTGCATGAATACATGGGTTACAAACTTGGTTGATCGTTCTGGGACAGGGGTAGGCAACCTTGGCTCTTTTATGACTCGTGGACTTCAACTCCCAGAATTCCTGAGCCAGCATAGCTCAGCTTGGAAACCTCTCCCTTTCCCCTCAGCATGGCTGGCTCAGGAATTCTGGGAGTTGAAGTCCACGAGTCATAAAAGAGCCAAGGTTGCCTACCCCTGTTCTGGGAGAACCCAATTCTTTTGTAGGCTGTTTTAAGCTTTGGTCCTTGTTAAAAATTTCATTTTCCCTCTCTGCTGCTCTCCAGCCCTCTCGATCTACGTGATGACGGCATTTGAGAGAGAAACGGGAATTACCTGTGCTTGTATCTTCTCCTCTGGGATCATCGTCTTGATCATTACGGTGATCCACGTGCTCGTCCGGGCTTCCAAAGCCACGCAACATAGCCCAGGAGAATTGTCACACAATCTTTACGAGAACGGCTCGGCCCAGAGCAGCAAAACACCAGCCGTTCATCCTAGTGATGCTCCAAAGGTGGCCTCTTCACAGTCACATCTGGAAATCCACCCAGAGGTTTCATACTTATCCTACGTGGAGCAGAAGTCCCATCAGACCACCCCAGCGAGCAGCACCAATGTCACCTCCGTGGACAGTGTTGTACCAACTCTGGAGAAAGAGAGCTATAGCATCCCCAGAACGCACCGGACACTTTCGGCAGAATCCGGCCTTCTGCTGAGCCACGGGGTGAGGCAGGAAATGAGGAAAGTCCTGTCTCGCAAACCGAAGGGATCAGGCAAAGGTTCAACCTTGGTGTGAAATCTCAGAAAGCGTGACGATCCCGATCCCCACAGAGATCTTCAATCTCCAGACGACCCTTGCCTGGAAGGAACACTTACCATATTGCTTGATTGCTTCACACGCTCTCTCATTCACTCATAAGAAGTGGGGAACAACCGTATTTAGATTCCTTTAAAAGGAGATTAGGGTCAGCCCCATGGGTTTATGACAATTCGCCACGGCCAACTTGCCACAGCCAACTCACACTGCGGGACAATTCGCCATCGGCAACAACTTGCTGAAGGACGAGAGTTTTACACTAATATCAAAGAAATAGTGGAACAGAATAATTAAAGAACAGATGCAAAAAAGAGGTACCCAACAAAACGTGAATGGCAGAAATGAAAATATTTTTGTATTTATTTTAAATAATTAAATTGAATTGTTCAGTTGTCTTGCGGCGAGTTGTCCCGCAGCAAGTTGGCTATGGCGAATTGTCCCATTCCACAGCCCCACTAGATGGAACTCCACAGGAGGACCAGAACTCCACTTTATTGAGACAGGCTATAACAGGGGTAGTCAACCTTGGCTCTTTTATGACTCGTGGACTTCAACTCCCAGAATTCCTGAGCCAGCATGGCTCAGCTTGGAAACCTCTCCCTTTCCCCTCAGCATGGCTGGCTCAGGAATTCTGGGAGTTGAAGTCCACGAGTCATAAAAGAGCCAAGGTTGCCTATCCCTGGGCTATAATAACAAAATATTGCAAGCCCGATTTTGCTGTGCAAATAGTCCTCGACTTACAACAGTTCATTTAGTGACCATTCAAAGTTACAACTGCACTGGAAAAAGTGAGTCAGGACCATTTTTCACACTTACGACCGTTGCAGCATCCCCATGATCACTTGATCAAAATTCAGATGCTCGGCAATTGACTCTCATTTATGACGGTTGCAGTGTCCTGGGGTCATGCGATGACTTCGGTGACCAAAGTCAATGGGGAAGCCCGATTCACTTAACAACCCTATGACTCACTGATAAACTGCAGTGCTTCACTTAATAACCGTGGCAAGAAAGGTCGTAAAATGGGTCAAAGCTCACTTAACAAATGTCTCACTTAGCAACAGAAATTTTGAGCTCCGTTATGGTTGTAAGTTGAGGACTACCTGTATTTCCCCTCCTTGGATCAGGGAGGTGATTGTTTGAGCCATTTCCGAATATTATCTTGATACCCAGGACTTAAAGAAATATTTTTGACTTCTTTACCTAGATAATGATTCTTGCATATTTCTATCAGTCACCTCCCTTACTCTCAGCAATTAGAAAAATCCATATATTACAGATTGTGTGAGGATGTCTACATAGACAAGGGGTAGGCAACCTTGGCTTTTTTATGACTCGTGGACTTCAACTCCCAGAATTCCTGAGGCAGCATGGCTCAGCTTGGAAACCTCTCCCTTTCCCCTCAGCATGGCTGGCTCAGGAATTCTGGGAGTTGAAGTCCACAAGTCATAAAAGAGCCGAGGTTGCCTACCCCTGACATAGACCGTCCACGTTTGAAGGCCCAAAGCAGCATTTTTTACTAGGGAAGAATTGTGGTGAAAGGGCGATTGCTTTTAAACCCTGATGCAGCAGGCAGGAATCTAAAGGGCTGGTTAAGTGTAAGAAAGGATATTCTACTAACCAACCCCTTACCCTAATGCAGGGGTAGGCAACCTTGGCTCTTTTATGAGTCGTGGACTTCAACTCCCAGAATTCTTGAGCCAGCCATGCTGGCTCAGGAATTCTGGGAGTTGAAGTCCACGACTCATAAAAGAGCCAAGGTTGCCTACCCCTGCCCTAATGCATGTTGGCTGAGGAATTCTGGGAGTTGAAGTCCACAAGTCATAAAAGGGCCAAGTTTGAAGACCCCTGCCCTAATGCATGCTGCAAACCAGCATCAAGAAAGACTGCTACTAAATATGGAGGCTTCCTTTAATGATCCTATTACCTCCAATTTTGTTCTACTAATATTAGATGCCATCCATTATTAGATACTGTACTACATTTAAATTGTTCCTAGGTGCTACCATAAAGAGGGAATTTGTCTGGACTCACACTAGTAAAGGAAGGTTGGTTGTATAGGTCAGGGTTCCCCAACCCCTGTCCGCGACCTGGGGCTGGGCTACAGCCTGTTCAGAACCGGGCCACGGAAGTGATGGGTGAATGTGCATGCATGAAGCTGCATTTGTGAAAATGGCACACGTGAAATCATACTCTCTCTCCCCCCCCCCCCCGCTGCTTCCACCAGTCCATCGAGCTGTAAAGGTTGGAGACCACTGTTATATAGGTCATCTTTGACTTATGACTGTAATTGAGCCCAGAATTATGGTTATATATTGAGGCATCACATGGCCAGACCTGATTTTTCAACATTTTTGTAGTGGTGGTGTTAAGTGAATCCATTTTACCCAATGGGCTTTTTTTGGGGGGCCAAAAACTGGAAGTACTGGAAATCAGCAAAATTTGAAAAAAAAACAAAACATGGTCACATGACCATGGGATGCTGCAAAGGGCTGTAAAAGTGAGCGGGTTGTCAAGTGTACAGAATACGATCACATCACCGCAGGGGTCTATGGGTGTGAGGCGGCCATAATTTCAAAACTGGGTTACAAATAGTTTTGGGGAGCCCATTGTAGCTTTGAACTTGAGGACTATCTGTACTGAATTGAAGGCTAGGTAGACTTTCTGATTATAGTGAAGACCGGAACAGCAACATCAGATCAAGTTTGTGAATCCAACATCCACAGTTTGTGTGCCATTCAGAAAGTGACAGTGATTAAGGTTCGCAAGAGCCAAAATCCGTAACAAGACCTCACTTCAAGTCATGAATTACACGCCTTTTAGTGATTTAGTTAGAACCATTACCATACGTTCATATAAGCCAGAAATGAAATGTAGGCATGTCCAAGGAGAAACATGGGCCGGCATACGCAAATGACACTCGGAATTTCAACAGAATTTTCCACTTGTTCCAGTGCAACAAGACAGAAAATTCACATCTCTCCATCCTCATAAAGGTGTGATCAGCTTGCCATCAATCATGAGCTACATGGACCAACAGTTTGGCTTGATATAATGGGATTCTTAATGTATTCTCTTCCCTCTCCTCTTCCTGTCTCACCCCAGCACTTGTACAAGCACATGACACAGCAAGAAAAATCTTGCCTGCAGTGTTTCTTCCTTGGAAATGCTAAGTATTGCTAACATATGTTCTTTGCTTAGAGTAATTTTTTAAATTAACTGTAATTATTGATGTTAAAAAAAATGATTAAACCTGGAGACAGGTTAATATAAACGTGTCTTGGTCACATCGACGTGTAGAGTGGCTTCCCCTTGGCATCTGAAGCTTCTTTCCATAAATAGAGAGGATGACCATGAAGTTTTCCCAGACCCGGATCTCCAGAGCTACCTCCGTGCAGAATTCAACCGATCTTTTACGGCAATGGCGTGTCTAAGGAGCCCTTCAATGTTCTTGAAATACATGCTACTGTCCTTCATATTCTTGATGGCACTGGAGAGGAAGGAAAGCACCTGGTTAGAATTACAAGAGTTGGGGAAAGAGGGGATCAAGAGTGTCCCAGCCTCAGAAATCCAGGAACAGGGATAGAGAGAAGAGTATATCGCAGGGGTTAGAATGGTAAAAAACAAGTTTTTAAGGGCAGTCACCTGCAGGCATATTCTACGGTATAAATGGCTCCTTGACTCTGTTCTTCCCAGCTCTGCATGTCAGCCTGCAAAGAGAAAGGACAGCTGATCTTTTGCTCGGTAGAAGCACAAGAGACCTGGTGGTCAGAATGCAGTACTGCAGGCTAATTCTGCTCACTGCCAAAAGTTCAATCCTGACCAGCTCAAGGTTGACTCAGCCTTCCATCCTTCCGAGGTTGGTAAAATGAGGTCCCAGATTATTGGGGGAAATAGACTGACTCTGTAAACTTCTGTAAAGCACTATGGAGCAGTATATAAGTCTAAGTGCTATTGTTATTGCTATAAAACGTTCCTGCACTTTCTGCCACCCTTCTTGCAAAATGAAAAAAAAAGGGATTTACCTTTGTTTACTTTTCCCTTAAACTTTTGACTCCGGTTTTTACAGAATGCATATATATATTTTCACACTACAAGTAATCCTCGACTTACAATTATTTGTTTAGAGACCACTCAAAGTTTCAACAGCACCTAAAAAAATTATTTATGACCAGTTGTTGCACTTACAACCTTAACAACATTCCCAAGATCATGTGATCAGAATTCAGACGATTGGCAACCAGCATATATTTACAACGGTTGCAACACCTTGGGATAATGTGGTCACCATTTGCGACTTTTCCAGCCGGCTTCCAACAAGCAAAGTCAATGGGGGAAGCTGGACTGATTTGCTTAACAACTGTGGGGAAAAGGTGATAAAATCAGGTGTGACTCATTTAAAAACCACCTTGCTTAGCAACCGAAATTCTGATCCCAATTATGGTTGAGAACTACCTGTATATCTTTTAAGGTGAACCACATTATGGAAAGCATGGAAGAAGAGCAGATATGATGGCTTTGGTCAAGCAAGGGATTCACTTTTTTTTTTAGAGTCACTTTTTCTCATATCCTATCTAGATACTATCCATTTTCCACATTAGTTCACACAACCCCTTTCCCATTGCTTTGAAGGATGTGAGAATAATTTCTCCCATCACTGTTTAGTTAATGCTGAATAAGAGAATTAATAATGCAGTTAAGTAACAAGGACAGATTCAAAAGAGAGCAAAGGGAAACCAAGAGGTCAAGGAGAAGAAGTGAAGACAGAGCTTTCTCTAATATAATTATCCAGAAGGGAATTATCCCCTTCCAGTGGTGGGATTCAACCGGTTCGCACCACTTTGGTAGAAGCGGTAGCTAATTTTTTATTGCCCAGGCCCAGAATGGACTTCCGAAAGTGGCATCCACACAGAGAACTGGTTGTTCACATATTTGAATCCCATCACTCTCTCCTTCCCAATATGCAGCTTCTTAAGGTATTTTTGACTTTCTCCCAAACATGGCCTTGAAACTGGACAGAGTCGATATAGAAAACCAGTTGCACCCCAAACAATTCTGACGTGATCCACAACTACTTGACCAATAGGTTGTGAAAGGGTGATTTGTTACTTCTCAATCTGGCTTAATTTATATCCTCAGGCCTTAAAGACCAGTACTTCTTCATTACAAAAAATGCTCTGGAGACTTCAATTAGCAGATGTGCATTAACATACCCACCTCTCATAGCTGCCTCTACGTTAGTCTGATTCTTTGTACACTGAAAATTAACATATCATGAAAAAATGTCCATTATTTCTGCCTACGAGGAATTAAAAAATATGGAGGAATAGTTAAAAATCTGAGCCTTTAAGTCCTGTTTGTAACAGAATAGGTTTATTAGACTATTTTTAAGAATAACACTATATCCATTCTCATTTACAGTTCAGATCACAGCTTACTTTATGTTCAGCCAGTTCTGGGAGAGAGCGCCTGACATGCTCTTGAAGCCGATACAACGCAACAGAAGGTTCATTGGCCAGGACATACATGCTTTCTGTAAATTTGTCTGTCACTATAAGAAAAGAAAGCATATTTTTTTCTCACAGCTTTGCTTCCACAGCAGGAGGGAAAAAAGGGTTCATTCAGATAATACATGTCATGATTTCAGGCCACCAGTGCAAGAAAGGGATGTCTAGGCTTGGATAAAATTCGTAAGTATAAAAACTAACCAGAAGCAAGAAAAAAAGTCAGGGTGGGATGGCAGTCTAAAATCTGCAACTGCTTCAGAATGATAGATGAACATTGGGGCAAAAGGAGAGAAATGAAATTGGAAAACTGAATAAGAATCCAAGAGGGTGATGGTGGATGTGAATCTTTCATACTTCAGTTGTTGTTATGGTTCATCGCACAGCCAACCAGATGTGGACTGGATTTAGCATTTTTATTCATCTATTTAAGTCCTTCCCAAGGACCTGGGATAAGCAGATGTTGATTTTGATGGTGTTAGAGTTATCATTGCATCATGTAAGCTGTATTATTACATTTTTAATAAAGGGGAATATTTGTAGCTCAGGGTTGACATGAGGGGTCCTTGGTGCTCTCTGAGCTTGCTTGTTTTCTTGCAGACCTTTCATTACCCAAACTAGGTGATATCAAAAGTGCTAGACTGATGATGTTACCTAGTTTGGGTAATGAAACGTCTGCAAGAAAACAAGCAAGCTCAGAGAGCACCAAGGACCCCTTATTACATTTTTATCCTGACAACTTCTTGGCAACAATACAACATTAGCTTGCCATTGCCATTCTCCACTCTCAAGTCAGCCTACTTTTCTGGAATTATTTAGTGGTCTCCTATCCATACATTAACCAGCTGCAACTGCAGTTAGCTTGTTTGAGACCAGCCCAGGTTGGGTGAGAACGCCTGCAGTGTCAGACCAGAACAATAAAAATGAAATCTCTCATTCAATGCAACAGAACCGCCCTGTCCTATTTTTAGCTTGGGAGAAGATGCCTGGTCTATACTGAAACAGAGCTATTTTCTTCAATATTAAAATAAAAATGGTTGGAATTCCACCCGAAAGGTGGAAATTGTCCACGCATGGATCCCACAGGCCAACTCCAGATCTGTGACCAGTTTTATTTTTGCTACAATAACACCCAAATCTCAACCCAGAGGCGCGGGGAGAGAATAAGCTCCCCTTTCTCCATTCTTCCCCGGACTTATTTTAGTGTAACATAACCCGGAAGTAGCCGTCATTGTTACCCTTTTTCACTTTCAGCTGCATTTCAGCCTCCTCCATGATACCGAACCGAGCCCGACCCAGCGTGAGAAAAAGCGGACTGCAGAGCCGGGGCGGAACTCCAGCCGAACAGCAACTTCCGGAAAGCTGGGTGTATCGTCAGAAACGTACCTGTGTGGAAACACCGCCTGAGGAGAAAGGTTCTTGCTGTTTTTTCTTTTTTTAAATCAAAACGGTGCGGAATGTATACCGTTTCTTTCATCCGTCAGGATTTATTCATTTATTGATGCCCGGATTTCCCGTGCGGACGTTCAGGCCTAAAAGGATGACAAGGCTTATGAGGGAGCATTTCCCTTTCAAAATGAATGGATGTCATCAGTCCCTAAGTACTTAATGAAAATATTCTTTTTTTCTGTTGTGTTCCCTGAAGCTTTCTCACTAACATGGTCCGTGGATCCTGGAAATAAATCCCGCTGCGGTCGGTGGAATTGTGTGTTGTGATTGTGTAATTCACAAAACCAAGCACAAAAGCCCAGTGCGTTTTGTTTTGTCTTAATTAGGAAAACAGAAAAATATACAATCCCCTGAATGCAGAGCGATCTTCTTCCAGGAATCATGGAATATTCTTCTAAAGATTTAATTTTTTTAATGTTTGGTTTGTTTCTTGTGCTTTCAGTTTTTGTATTTATTGTTTTTATGCCACATTGGTTTTAGTGCTGTGGTTCTTATATGCTGGGTTTCTTATATGCTGCCTGGAGCATTTAGGCCGTTTGCTCATGATAAGCATGGAAAATTGAAGATTTGTTTAGGTTTCGTTCTGTCTTAGCATGACTTAGAAACCCAGCTTGTTTGGTAGTTTGACATTAGATTAGCCACATCCAGAAAATGATTAAAAGCAGCAGCCAAGTTAAACATGTTGTGTGAATGCAGCCTTTATAGAGACAGTAATTGAACTGTTTTGCAAGGCAAGGAATAGACCTTGAAAGAAGAACATGGGCCAGTACGATCACTTTTGTTTAAAATTTGTTAACTGTTTAAATAATTTTGAAAAAGGATTAAAGTGTGTCAGATGGTTTTAGGGTGTTAGTTTTAGTTGAGTTTCCTAAGTGAAGAGAAAGACACAGAGAAAGAGGAAGATGGAAGGAAGGAAGGAAGGAAGGAAGGAAGGAAGGGAAAAAAAAGAAAGGGCATGGAAAAGAAAGGAAGGAAAGGAGATGAACTATATAACTATATACACAGAGGAAAAAATGCAGTATATGTCCATCATTGTTTTGAGATCATTTTTACTTTCCTTAGCTATTCTTAGCCAAGGGAATCAAGCCAGCCCCGGATATCTTACATTTATTTTTAATAGCTGCATCGCAATCTGAAATCTAAGAATTAATTTTTGCTTGATGAATGAGAGTCGAGAGCACATTACTTTGGTCTGGGCTTAGAAAGAAAGGCGGGCCCTTTAAGGCTAAACAGTCAGGACGAAAGCAGCTCCGCCCCCTCCTGACACATGGTCGGATAGATGGTGCAAATTGGTCGCGTGGGTGGTGCAAATTCCGTCGGTTCATTCATAAAATTCCGTAAACTCTTAAAGGGCCCACCAGCCAGGTGCTTTTTGAAAATAACCAGCGCTTCAGATGCATTGTGGGAAGAGAAAGTTATTTTCATTTTGCATCAGAGGGACGAATGGGCTTAAAGGCTGTTTGTTAACGTTATTTCCCATCGAAGCTGGGACTGCGGAGATCATGCTTTGATTATTCGGTAATCCATCCTTCTAAACCGGGTTCAAGAAGTCCCCCCAAGAAAAGAAGGGTGAGTTGAGAATGGCGTCTGCAAACCAAGTTCTCCTGCTTAGGTAAATTGCTCCTGTTTGGAATTCCTTCACTGCTTTCTCTTTGGCAATTGCTAATCGGTAGCTGGTCTCTGTGTGATGCCTTCCTCCATCCATTAGGTCAGTGTTTCTCAACCTTGGCAACTTTAAGAGGGCTGGACTTCAGCTCCCAGAATTCCCCAGCCAGCCCTCTTAAAGTTGCCAAGATTGAGAAATATTGCATTAGCTAATTGCATTTCTATCCTGCTGGGCATGCTGCCCCCACCATGCGTCAGAGCCTTCCAATCTCATTCAGTGTATCACTTCACTTTCAGAGTGTCAACAACCCTGCAGACCCAATAACAATACTGCAATACTAAAATGATTCAAGCCACCATCCAGAGGGATCCTGAAGGTTCAGCTACTGACAGAAAAGATGATGACGATGATGACGATGACACAATAATAAACCTGCAATTGTTTCCATATTCAGAAGCTGGGGATGATTTAAATGGTACGTTCACAAGGCTCAAGTCTGAATGGGGGGAGTTCTGGGGGGGGAGATTATGGGGGGAGTTCTGGGGGGGATATTACATATGATGGGATATCTGCGGCAGAATTCAGCTTCTAAAAATCTCTGCTTTTTTCAGAAGAAAAATGGAAGTTTTTCATTCTTCTGATACAGGTAGTCCTCGACTTAAGGACCACAACTGAGCCCAAAATTCCTGTCGCTGAGTGAAACAGTTGTTAAGTGAATTTTGCCCCATTTTATAGTTGTTAAGTGAATCGCTGCAGTTAGTAACACGGTTGCTAAGAGAATCTGGCTTCCCAATTGACTTTGCTTGTCAGAATGTCGCAAAAGGGGATCACATGATTCTGAGACACTGCAACCATCATAAATATGAGCCAGTTGGCAAACAGCCAAATTTTGATCACGTGACGATGGTGTCAGGGTAATGATTTAAAAGCTAACCAGCTGATGTAAGATGTAATGATGGGAATGACTCAGCAGGGTCTGTGTCTATTTAAGAGCAAGCAGGGTCTGTGTCTATTTAAGAGCTTTGTATAAAAGGGAAGGCTCCGCAGATGTGTGCTCTCTCTTCCATTTTCTTGCTGTAACTGCTGTGTGTTTGATCCTGCTGTATACCACATGTATGTATATTGTTCCGGATATTGTAGATAGTGTAAGATAGCCACCATTTAATATAGACCACTGTTTACTGTGTTTATTCCTGAATTATCTCAGCGCAATAAGACTGTCCATGCTCTGACAGATGGGGATGCTGCAACGGTTATAAGTGTGAAAAACAGTCATAGGTCACTTTGTTCAGTGCTGTTGTAACATCAAACAGTCACTAAATGAATGGTTGTTAAGTCGAGGAGTATCTGTATCCAAGTTAAGTTAGGAATTATGAATATGCTGAGTAGTGCAATGTTGTGTCTTTAATTTAAACTGCAATCCTCTGCTCACTGAAAAATAAACCTCATTTAATTCAATAGGATACAGTTTATAATTCTTGAGAGTGGTTGAGTGCCTTGCATAAATGTAATGAGAAAAGATGCAGATTTCACCTGGATGGAAAGTTTCTGTGCTCTGCCTTCGGCCAAAAGATCACAGAACAGTTCATTTGTTGAATCTTCTCCGACCCATGGAATAAATGTGTCCAGTTTGAATTCTCCAAAAGATTGGTGGACATATCTGGATAAAAGCTAGTTCTTAACAAAAATGGCATTAATTTAATACCTTTTCTTTCTCCTACAGTTCGTTGCCTTAGAGCAGCAGTCCGGTCAAAAAAAGTCAAGATGGCTGCCACAATAGCATGACTGCCACATAAACAAAGCTTCAATTGCTCTGTGGTAGCCATTTTGACTTTTTTGACCTGTGGATACTCCTGCCTTAGAGTGTATCTTGGGTGAACTCAGCTGGGGTCCTAAAGCAAGGCTACAACATAGCAAGCCCCATGTGAATCTTGCTAATTGTGGACAAGTCAATAAACTGAAGATTCTCTTATTTCTCAAAATGCAGATGGGATCCTGAAGCGTTCCAGTACCCTGACAAACCGTCAACGTGGCAATGAAGTCTCTGCTTTGCCAGCTACTTTGGATAGTGAGTTTTTTTTGTGTCATAAAAGAAAAGCCTTTTAGGTCATGTGATTCCAGCTGTCAAAATTAAGCACAGAGAGAGGAAAACCTGTTGGAGTAGAAGACCAAAAGGCAAAAGGCATTCAAATATTATTTTAAATATTTTATCTGAGAAATTGTATTTATTTATTACAAACTTTATAGCTTCGTAGTTGTTCATAAACCTCAGGGCAGTTCACAGTTTGTGCAAGTACTTATATATAAAGCTACACAGCTCATTAACATGAAGCTCCAAAATCATAGAACGCAAGGGTTGGAAGGGATCTTGGAGATCATCTAGTCCAACCCCTTGTCAGTGCAGGATTCACTGCAGTTACTAACTCACAGGTGTCAAACTCGCTGCGTCATGTGACGTGTCATGACGTATCGTGACTTTTTTTGCATTACCGGATCAGGTGGGCGCAGCCTCTGTATCAGGGGTTCTCAACCTTGGCAACTTTAAGACTTGTGGACTTCAATTCCCAGAATTCCTCAGCCAGCAAAGCTGGCGGAGGAATTCTGGGAGTTGAAGTCCACAAGTCTTAAAGTTGCCAAGGTTGAGAACCCCTGCTCTATATGATGTAACAGGCCCATGAGCTGGCAGTTTGACACCCCTGCTCTAACTGAAGAAATTCAAAAATTAAAGAGTGACATTTAAAACATTTTTTTTTCATTTTAAGTTGCAGTTTTCATGCCGTTGTACACTACTATATTTGTTTCTATTAAAAAAATAGTTCCTTGGAAGAAAGAAAAAAAACTTTTTTTCCCTTGTTCTGAAAATCTGCTAGGCTTTTGCCAGCATCTGATTCATTGAATTGATTAACCAGTTCAAATATGGATGAATCAAGATGGGCCAACTCAGTTGTTTGTTTGTTTTTTTGAACATTCACTTTAATGGTTCAAATCAGGTCTGATTTAGAGATTAAGGTCACATCAATTTATGTGGATTGATTTGCATGTTGCAAAAGAAATGGAGCTAATTTGTACTCCTTTAATAAAATACATGCTGTACAAGGCACTGGATGAAAAATTCAGTTTCCTTATAATCTAGCTTTAATGTTCATTGTTCTTTAAGTCAAGTTTCTGTCCCATGGGTTTGATGAGATAATGTGTGTTTTGATAAAGGGATGAATAAGATTTCTACAAGTTTAAAAATATAACACTTAGCTCTTTCCTCACCACTGAAATCAGTATAAAATTGCACAATATGATTTTTTTTCAGATTAGCAACTCCATACCTCAATAAATCTGAAAAGGGCTAGATCAGGGGTCTTCAAACTTGGCCCTTTTATGACTTGTGGACTTCAACTCCCAGAATTCCTCAGCCAGCGTGCCTGGCTGAGGAATTCTGGGAGTTGAAGTCCACAAGTCATAAAAGGGCCAAGTTTGAAGACCCCTGTGCTAGATTGTTAAAAAGATATTCAAAGTCGCATTATATGGAACAGTTCACTCATATGTATTAATTTATTAACATTTTAAACCACCCTTAAGCTGTCTTGATCATTGTCTTCTCTTTTGATTTCCCAGCTCTGTCCATTCACCAGCTTGCAGCTCAGGGTGAACTGATTTTGTTAAAGGAAAGCCTCCGAAAAGGTGAGCCGTGAAATTTCTCTGTTTCTCACTCTTCTGCTAGACTCTAGAGAGTCTTAGTTTGAGCAACTTTAAGAATTGTGGACTTCAATTCCCAGAATTCCCCAGCCAGCCATGCTGGCTGAGGAATTCTGGGAGTTGAAGTCCACACCTCTTAACGTTGCTCTGTTTGCAAAAAGCTATGCTAGAGCAGTGTTTCTTAAACTTTCTATCAGGACCCCTTTTCACTTTTAAAAATTATGGAGTTTTTATTTGTCCAAATTACATTTGCCATATTCAAAATTAAAAACGCATTTGCCGCTGCTACAGTCTCATGCTTGATTGATGGGATTTTAATGTTTTATTATTTTTCAACATAGGCTGGCAAATAATTTTGACTTTGAGGACTTCTGAGAGAGTCTTGGGGGAACCTCCAGCAGTTCTAGGGCCATACTTTAAGAAGCACCGTTCTAGAGGAATACAGCCTGGAGATTGTTCACTCAGTAATAGTTTTATGTTCAAAATATTTCAGCAGTGATCAGAATGACAGATGTCTTCAAAACATCCTTCCACCTTTGACTCCTGTCTACTGGGTGACCTAATGTAACCTACCTCACAGGATTGTTGTTAGAGGCAGGTGGAATGGATCCATTGTCCTGATTTTTACTGAAGGAAGGATGGCAATGAGACCAGATTGGGGCTCTGTAGTTGTTTGGAGTTAGAGGTTTGACTGGAATTTTCAGAGTTCACAAAATGGTGACTCTTGAGAGGCTTGCCCATTTCTAAAATGGCTGTCATGGTGGACACAATCAGTCACAGTCTTGATCAGGATGTAAAAGTAGCCCAGTGGAATATTAGCTACCCTTTCAGTGGCATTTGTGTGTGGGTCACTGATTCATTCCTAGAAATAAAAGTGATGCTATGGCTGGTTCCTTGCTCTGCACTCTGCCAGCCTCTTCTGCAGGTAGTCCTTGACTTACAGCCATTCGTTTAGCGACCATTCAAAGTTACAATGACATTGAAAAAAGTGACAAACCACCGGTCCTCACATTTACAACCATTGCAGCATCTTCATGGTCACGTGATCAAAATGCCTCCAGAAGCGGTGAATGCTCCAACACTGGAAGTTTTTAAGAAGAGACTGGACAGCCATTTGTCTGAGATGGTATAGGCCAGGGGTAGGCAAACTTGGCTCTTTTATGACTCGTGGACTTCAACTCCCAGAATTCCTGAGCCAGCCATGCTGAGGGGACAGGGAGAGGTTTCCAAGCTGAGCCATGCTGGCTCAGGAATTCTGGGAGTTGAAGTCCATGAGTCATAAAAGAGCCAAGGTTGCCTACCCCTGGTATAGGGTTTCCTGCCTGAGCAGGGGGTTGGACTAGATGACCTCCAAGGACCCTTCCAATTTTTTCGTTATCATTAGTTGTTGTTGTTGTTGTTGTTGTTGTTGTTGTTGTTGTTGTTATTATTATTATTATTATTATTATTATTATTATTATTATTATTATTATTATTATTTTGGCACTTTGGCAACCGGCTTGTATTTAGAACAGTTACAGTGTCCCGGGGTCATGTGACCACCATTCGCAACCTTCCCAGCTGGCTTCAGACAAGCAAAGTCAATGGGGAAAGCTGGATTTGCCTCATGATCTTGTGGTTCACTTAACAACTGCAGTGATTTATTTAACCACCATGGCCAAATAAAGTTGTAAAATTGGGGGGTGACTCACTTACCAACCGCCTTGCGTAAACAACAGAAATTCCGGCCTCGGGTTTGGTCTAAGACTAGTCAAGGACTACCTGTATATTATTAATTTTTAATGAAAAGAATATTTAAAACCGGAGCGGAAGGAAGCGTGATGGGCACCAAGGGAGGATTAAAAAGGGGGCTGCTTCCCCCATTAAGGATCGCATGGGGCGGTCCAAGGGTCTTTAAACCCCGTCAAGTTGCTCCTCCAAAACCTTTATGGAGGGAGGTCCTTTTGATTTCAATCAAGCCCTACTGCCCTACTTCATCCTTCTTACAGGTGAGAACCTGCTGAACAAGCCCGACGAGCGAGGATTCACCCCTCTGATGTGGGCCTCGGCTTTCGGAGAGATTGAAACCGTCCGCAGCATGCTAGACTGGGTACGAAAGCTTGCCCGGAGACAACGGCTTTAGAAAGCCAACATTTCTGGCAGCAGTTGTGAGCGATCTCTAAACCTTTCTCTTACTCTCTGTAGGGCGCAGATCCCCATCTCCTTGCTAAGGAGCGAGAGAGTGCCTTGTCCCTCGCCAGCACAGGGGGATACACAGGCATTGTCACCTTGCTGTTGGAGAAGGCTGTGGACATCAACACCTATGATTGGGTAACTGTGACACTGAGGGAGGAGAGCTGAAGGGGTTCAGTAAGATAGAATGATTGACGGGGTCAAAAGCCACAGAGAGATCCTATAGCAGTGGTGGCGAACCTATGGCACGCGTGCCAGAGGCGGCACTCAGAGCCTTCTCTGTGGGCACGCGTGCCATGCCCCGGAGATGGAAACTGTCCCTCTTCAACCAGCTGCCTGCTAACTCGCCGAGGTCCCATGTGGCTGGATGCATCCCAGCATGACTGGTTTTCCTCCCCCCCATCCCATCCCTCCTGGCCTCGCATGCTCTCCTTTTCCTGGGCACGACCCACTGCATCGCCTCCTCAGCTGTCAGCCGGCCGTCCAGCTCAGAGGCGGCTTCTCTGAACTTCTGGCGGCGGGCTGCGTAGCCCCAGAGTGTGCCAGTCAAGGGGGCGACAGGCTGTGGCTGCTGATGGACACAGTCGGCCCCCATGCGCTCGCTGGCCTCTGTGTGCAGGGACCGATAGTGCCAGGCAGCAGCCGCCCCGGCCCCTGCCTCACCTTGCCCTGCGACAATGGCACCCGCGCCCTGCCTCGCCTCGCCTTGCCTCCCCTAACCCTGCAGGACGAGACTCCTGCCCACCGCCCCACCTGCCAGAGACCCCCTGGATCTCCCCCAACCCTGCCCGGCCCCCACAGGTGACCCCCACGAGCAACATCGAGGTGACCACGCCCACCACAGCCACGCCCACCCAGTCTGCCATGACCACTACAGCCACGCCCACCCAGTGGGCCACGCCCACCTGACCCAGTGATAAATAAGTGGGTTTTGGGTTGCAGTTTGGGCACTCGGTCTCTAAAAGGTTCACCATCACTGTCCTATAGGATCAGCTTTGCTTGATCCAACCATTTATGGTTTTGGTACTTTCTCCAGGTTTGAACCTGGATGGAAGAACATTGAGATGATCTGCTTCCTCTCTTTGGTTCTTTATAATTGCAAGCCCACCATCTTTTCAACAAGCTTCTCTAAAACGGGGAGATTGGAGACAGGATGGTGGTGATCTAAATAGCCACCTCTGTCTCTTTCTCTTGGGGGATTAAGTGGGCAACAGTTTGGACACCGTCCCAAAGTATGAATGCGTTTGGGGTCAACATAACGTAATTGATGGAGGTTTGGTAAATTAACTCAGAATTGCCGTGATGTGATTTTGGATTAAAACTGCCCTTTTCTAGCCCCAATCAAGACAGGTTCTTTAAATGGACCTGATCAGGTGTGTTCTATGAACCCAACCTGCTTTTTCCAACCCCTAAACTCCAAAAGGGCTGAACATTCAGTCTCTCCTATATACTTCTTTTGTTGATTATTTTGGTTATAGTTGACCTTTTCCCCAAAAGGCATAACATCATCACCATCACTACAATCCTGCAAGATAAAACTAAGAAGCTATAACTGAAGTCAGATTTGTGGCTGAAAGGGGTTATGAATACAACTCAACTTTAAAATTTGAATCTTGCCTTTTTCAGCCCTAATATTTTCTGTAGAGGCTGGACTCCAGGCCCCACTGTTCCATTAAGCCATGCTGGCTGGGGATTATGGGAGCTGTTCTAGAACCCCTGGTTAGAGAAGCTAAGGGCAGGTGCACTCTGCCCCCTTGATAAAAAGGCATTTAGAAAAGAGAGAGACCTGCGATTTACACCTTAGAGTTGTGTTGCTCAACCTTGGGAATTTTAAGAAGCACCAGAAAGCAAGACAAGAAGTAATGGATGGAAACTAAATCAAGGAGAGAAGCAGCCTAGAACTAAGGAGAAATTTCCTAATGGTGAGAACAATTAACCAGTGGAATCGCTTGTATTCAAAAGTTGTGAGTGCTGCATCACTGGAGGCTTCTAAGAAGAGATTAGACAGCCATTTCTCTGAAATGGTATAAGACAGGGGTCTTCAAACTTGGCCCTTTTATGGCCTGTGGACTTCAACTTCCAGAATTCCTCAGCCAGCATGCCTGGCTGAGGAATTCTGGGAGTTGAAGTCCACAAGTCATAAAAGGGCCAAGTTTGAAGACCCCTGGTATAAGATCTCCTGCTTGAGCAGGGAGGTGGACTAGAAGACCTCCAAGATCCTTTTCAACCCTGTTATTCTATGATTTTAAGATGTGTGGACTTCAGTTTCCAGAATGGCTGGCTGGAGAATTCTGGGAATTGAAGTCCACTCATCTTAAAATTCCCAAGGTTGAGAAACACTCCCCTTAGAGTTTTGGAGATGAGATGATGGACTGGGGGATGGGAGAACAACTACCTTGGCTGCAAGAGGGGAGTTCTCTTAACCCTAATAACTCCAGATCTCTTTCTTTTCCTAACCAGCATGATTAAAAGTTCCATTAGATGGTTTGAACGTTGACCTCACTGAAATGTGAGGTCAAGGGTGAGGACTGGTGAGCTAGAAACTTCCCTGAGGCAAAAGTTACACCAATCTTCTCACAACCACTCCCCCTCCAAATAAAAAAAATCAAGACAACGGTGGGTTAACTTTATCAACCATCTTTACAGAATGGTGGGACTCCGCTGCTTTACGCTGTACGGGGCAACCACGCGAAGTGCGTTGAGGCCTTGCTAGGTAAGTCAAACATACCTGTTACGCTTGATCTTCTAATGCTCCATGCCGGAATATATTTTTTTTCAATAGAGGGTTTAAAAAAAGGCAGACTTTGGGTGGCTTTTAAATTATTTTGAGGTTTAAGTGGTTTGCTTTTCATGTATGCTACAGATTATAAAACACTGACTGAATTCCATCCAAAATGGTAGGTCCCTGGCGTTTCGGTTTGGGGCAATCGCTCCATCAAAATTTTATGACCCGGTCAGGAGGAATTCTGGCAGATAATAATAGTAATAATAGGCGCCTTGGTGCAATCCCAAAAACATCTGGAGCACCACCTGAGCGCCACTGGCATTGACAAAATCACCACGAGTCGATTGCAAAAAGCAGCTTGACATGGAACAGCTTCCATCCGGTGATGATGCCTTTAGCACCATCAAAGAACATCTGCCTATCTCAGATTCTTAGGAAGGACTTGAGTGGAAATAAAATGTCAAATCCAGCCTAAACATCTGGCTGACTATGCAACCATCCATTATAATAATACAGGTAGTCCTTGACTTACAACAGTTCATTTAGTGACCGTTCGTAGTTACAAGATGGACAGTGATTAATATTTATACGTATTTATATGTAAGGGTGCAGGTATATACATATGTATATAGCATGTTTGTATGTGTGTTATGTACCTGTATGTGTACACTTTTGAGAGCAGGCAACAGAATTTCATTTTTAATGTGTGCCAGTGTGCCCACAGTAAAAAATGACAATAAAGGTTATCCTTGGAATACTGCATCCAGTTTTGGTCACCACGATGTAAAAAAGATGTTGAGACTCTAGAAAGAGGGCAGAGAAGAGCAACAAAGATGATTAGGGGACTGGAGGCTCAAACATATAAGGAACGGCTGCTGGAATTGGGTATGTCCAGTTTAATGAAGAGAAGGACGAGGGGGGACATGATAGCAGTGTTCCAATATCTCAGGGGCTGCCACAAAGAAGAGGGAGTCAAGCTATTCTCCAAAGCACCTGAAGGCAGGACAAGAAGCAACGGATGGAAACTAATCAAGGAGAGAAACAACCTAGAACTAAGGAGAAACTTCCTGACAGTGAGAACAATTAACCAGTGGAACAACGTGCCTCCAGAAGCGGTGAATGCTCCAACACTGGAAGTTTTTAAGAAGAGACTGGACAGCCATTTGTCCAAAATGGCATAGGGTTTCCTGCCTGAGCAGGGGGTTGGACTAGATGATCTCCAAGGTCCCTTCCAACTTTACTATTATTATCTTATCCTATCCTACAAGGGCACTGAAAAAAGTGAATTACGACTGTTTTTCACACTTATGACCGTTGCAGCATCCCCACGGTCATGTGATCAAAATTCAGACGCTCGGCGACTGACTCATATTTATGACAGTTGCAGTGTCCCGGGGTCATGTGATCCCCTTTTGTGACCTGACAAACAAAGTCAATGGGGGAAGCTTAACAACCGTGTTAACTAACTGAACAACTGTAGTTATTCGCTTAACAACTGCGACAAGAAAGGTTGTAAATGAGACCAAATTCACTTAACCAAATTCACTTCTTGCTGAGCAACAGAAATTTTGGGCTCAATTGTGGTCATAAGTCAAGGACTACCTGTATCTGGGATCCTGCAAGTCACCCTTCCCTGCCATAATGGAAGCGGATTTCGGTCCATTTAAGTCTCAGCTGCAATGTAAATTCTTCCCAGTTTGGCTGCCGTGAAATCCACCATCTATGACAGAATGTCAAACACAAGGCCCGGGGGCCGGATGTGGCCTGCGAGGTGGTTTCATGTGGCCCACGAAGCCATCCTGGAAACAGTGAGGGAACGGCCCCCGCTGCCTTGGCCCTAGCCCAGGCCGGCCGGGAGCCAATGTACAATTTTGTGGTGGCCATCTATGCTGAAATGCATTCAATCTTAGCTCCACAAGGCTGTCTAGAAACAGCGAGGAACCAGCCCCTGCTGCGTCAGCCCTGCCCACTGGGTGCATGCGGGGGAGGTATCACCCTTTGTGAGGAATGAAGAAATGGACCATCGCCTGGAAGAGGTCCTGGTCCCACCCTCTTCTGCCAGAGACCCTCAGATCTGTCCCACTCCTGCCCAGGCCCCCACAGGCACCCTTGACGCAAACGATGTAGAGCTGGCCATGCCTACCCAATAGGCCACACCCACTCCATCCATGCCCACCCAGTAGGCCACACCCACCCAGGCCACACCCCGCCCCCTCTGAGGGGCAACCGCAATGCTGATGCAGCCCTAAATGAAATTGAGTTTGACACCCCTGATCTATGATGTAGTTATTCATTGTAATTATTTGCTACGATGACATGGGGACTCGTAACCCACCCAGTTTTTGCTGTGTGTTTTCAGCCCGCGGTGCAGACCTTACCACTGAGGCTGATTCTGGCTATACTCCAATGGACCTTGCGGTGGCTTTGGGTCACAAAAAAGGCAAGTGGTGGCGGGGGGAAGAGGGAATTCTTTCATAGCAGCCCCACCTTCCCAGACAGAGGCAAAGCAAGCCAGAGTGTGTCAGCAGATTTATTGTATAGCACAGAGGTCTTCAAACTTGACCCTTTTATGACTTGTGGACTTCAACTCCCAGAATTCCTCAGCCAGGCACACATGCCTGGCTGAGGAATTCTGGGAGCTGAAGTCCACAAGTCATAAAAGGGCCGAGTTTGAAGACCCCTGGTACAGCACGCTCACATCACATTTTGATAAAAACACAAGAGATAAAACTACAAAATAAGGAATATAAAATTTAAAAGAATTACAAATGTATGTCTAGATAACATTTTTTTGTTTCTTTTGGCACAGCCAGGAAATCAGCAAAGTCTCTATTACAGGCTCTGTTTTGGCACTCCATCCCTGCATGTTGGATAGTTTGTTTTTCGACCCCGCAGTTACAATTTGGTGATGGTATTTTGCCCCACTTATACAGGGTGCCTGCGCATCTACCATGGCCAGTGTGAATTCGGCTCAGTGTTGACCATGTTCACTTCCAACTCTTGTTATTCTATTAACAGAATAACAACAGGGCTAGGTTCTTGACAGAGTCAGTCAGCTATGAAACATTTCTAGTAATTATAATAACAGAGTTGGAAGGGACCTTGGAGGTCATCTAGTCCAACCCCTTGCTCAGGCAGGAAACCCTATACCATTTGAGACAAGTGGCTGTCCAGTCTCTTCTTAAAAACTTCCAGTGTTGGAGCATTCACAGCTTCTGGAGGCAGGTTGTTCCACTGATTAATTGTTCTAACTGTCAGGAAGTTTCTCCTTAGTTCTAGGTTGGCTCTAAGTGTGAATGCAAGCAGTTCCCTTTGTAAGAGGCTTGGTTCTAGCAAGGATGCCCTCCTGGGGATATCTCAGTTGTTGAGGGAGCCTGGAAGTGGGTATTATTACTTATCCAGTTTCCCCATATTGTGGAATGTTGTGCATTCAATTATAGATATAACTAATTCTTGACTTACGATTGGTCACTTAGTGACCATTCAAAGTTATGACCAAGTCACATGATTGCGTCTTGGGTACTCAGCAACTGGTCTGCTTTTATGGCGGTTTGCAATGTCCCATGGTTATACTGCTTATAAGCGCTATGTGCTTAATGCTCAAAGCATTGTGAGAGACCCCACACACCCACTTCATGGTCTGTTTCTGTTGCTCCCCTCTGGGAGGAGGTTTCGAAGTATTTATAGCAGAACTACTAGATTCTGCAACAGCTTTGCTCCTTAGGCCATCCGTCTTGTAAATTCGCAGGGTTGTTTTTTCTCGCCACACGTATGTATACATTCGAATTAGACTGATGTTTCTGTGGGTCGTATATGTGGGTATATGCATAATGGTTATCCTTTGAGATCTAAATGGAATGAAATTTCATTTTAACGTATGCTGATTAGTGTACCTTTAAAGGGACAATAAAGTTCTATTCTTCTCATGATTTATGGGTTGTTTTTTTTGCTGGAAATTTGTTTTACTTTCTATTTCTGGGCAAAAATGCCCATTGGGAAAATGTATTAATTAGCGGCACTGTTTGCATAATGACTACAGCTGAAAAAAGGCTGTAAAATTGGACAATCCTCCATGACATATGGCAATAATTCCAGGCTCAATTATGGTCGTAAGTCAAGGATTATTATCTGTAGTGCCAGCCTGCAAGGAGTAGGCATCAACTGAAGCCCTGTTACCTGACTCAAATCCAGTGAAAAGCTTCATTTGGTTTCGGATCAGAGTGCGATACAACATGTTATATGGATATGCTTTCTGTCGCTCTCCTTCTAAGCTAGTTCTCAAGTTTTGTGGATATTATGTCCTGTTACAGCAGGGGTCTTCAAACTTGGCCCTTTTATGACTTGTGGACTTCAACTCCCAGAATTCCTCAGCCAGCGTGCCTGGCTGAGGAATTCTGGGAGTTGAAGTCCATGAGTCATAAAAGGGCCAAGTTTGAAGGCCCCTGATATGAATAATATTTTTCCAAACAATAAAAATTCTTCTTTGCTTTCCAGTCCAGCAAGTGATTGAAAAACACATCCTCAAGTTATTGCGGAACAAGGAAAGAGAGGAAAAGGACCTCGAATCAGAATGACGAGCGTCTCTTGTTTTTTTTCTCCCGAATCAAGGAAGTGGATGGAAGGGTCTTTGAGACAGGCACCTTCTATGCCAGCCTGCAGAGATGGTGCAGAACCGGGCATTTTCAGACAACAGGGTACAGAAAGAAGCACCTGAGTTTTTTCCAAAAGAAACTCTGCCTTCTTGAACAGTGGCTTACAGGATCCCCCGACGTCGAACCTACTTCCTTCTCAAGGAATTGCTAATTTACCTCTCCTGCAGATTTATGGAAATTTCTCCTGAATGTCAAACCATAAATTGGGGGAGGGAAACTGTATTGAGCAGACCTTCCTTTAAGTCAGGAGTCCCCAAACTTGGCAACTTTTAAGACTTGTGGCCTTCAACTTCCAGAATTCCTCAGCCAGCGTAGTTAAGCTGAGGAATTCTGCGAGTTGAAGTCCACAAGTCTTAAAAGTTGCCAAGTTTGGAGACCCCCCTGCTTTAAGTTGTAAAAAGTTTTTATTTGGCTCTGCAAAATGTGCCGTTTCCTCAGTTGCTGGGGGTGAATTAGGGTTGGGTCAAAGGAAGCTGACCAAAAAACTTTCACAAGACTGAAGAGAATATTTTTGTTTAACAGAAATATATATATATATATATGTATATGTAACAGGCTTGTTCGGTGATTTTCATTTTCAAATCAGTTGCTTCTGGTCTGTTTTTTTACGTTTTACTCCTGCTCTTTCTCATTTTCAAGAGGGCCTCTGATTTAGGCTTACATGTACAGGCAGTCCTCAAATTGCGACAATTGGGACCAGACTTTCAGCTGCTAAGCAAGGGGGCTATTCAATGAGTCATACCTGATTTTATCGCCTTTTTTGCCATGATTAAGCGAATCACATGGTTGTTAAGTGAACCACATGGTTGTTAAGGAGCCCAGATTTCCTTGACTTTGCTTGTTGGAAGCCGACAGGAATAATTACATGATGTGAGAAGCTGCAACCATCGTAAAGACATGCTGGTCGACCATGCATCGGTTGTAAGTGTGAGGACCGGTCTTAAGCCACTAATTTTAATGCTGTTGTAACTCTGAATGGTTGCTAAATGAATGGCTGTAAGTCAAGGATTACCTGTAGAGTCAGCATGCTTATGACCGAGTGAAGCTCGCCACTTCACTGCCAGAGCAAGATCTGTTTGTGCTGGTCCGGACCAAACACACCAAAACACCCAGGAAAAGTGATGAACAAAATAACAAAAGTTGGAAGGGACCTTGGAGGTCTTCTAGCCCAACCCCCTGCTCAAGCAGGAGACCCTATAACAGGGGTAGGCAACCTTGGCTCTTTTATGACTTGTGGACTTCAACTCCCAGAATTCCTGAGCCAGCCATGCTGAGGGGAAAGAGAGAGGTTTCCAAGCTGAGCCATGCTGGCTCAGGAATTCTGGGAGTTGAAGTCCACGAGTCATAAAAGAGCCAAGGTTGCCTACCCCTGCCCTATACTATTTCAGACAAGAGACTGTCCAGTCTCTTCTTGAAAACCTTCAGTGATGGAACACCCACAATGTCTGGAGGCAAGCCATTCCACTGTTTTGACGGTTAGGAAATTTCTTCTGAGTTCTAGATTGCTTCTCTCCTTGATTAGTTTCCATCCGTTGTCTTGCCTTCCGTTGCTCTGGAAAATAGGTTAACCCCCCCCCCCTTCTTTGAGGCAGTCCCTCAAATATAGGAACCCTGCTATCATCTCGTCCAGTCCTTTTCACTAGACTAAACAAACCCAATTCTTGCCACCGTTCTTCCTGTGTTTAGCCTCCAACCTCCATCGGTGTTGCTCTTCTCTGCACTCTTTCCAGAGTCTCTACATCTTTTGGGTGACCAAAACTGGACGCGTTATTCCAAACGTGGTCTTACTGAGGCTTTATAAATTGCATGTTTTATTATTGCCTTTAAAAACAAGTGTCCAGGCATCGGGCAGAACGTGAGCATAAGGCACGTGCTTTGCTCTCTCCTCTGTGTGGGCAGCCCTGGCGCCTTGGGTGGAGGTGGCAGCTCCAGACTCATCTTCAGAGGCTGACAGCAGCTGCTTGCAGATGCTCAGGCGGTGGTTCCTCTGGAGCAGGCTAATTATTGGTGTCAGAATTTGAGCTCGGCATGACACCGCACCCTACACTTTGGGTGCAGACTTTTGGGGGGATCCTGGCCGAGAAGGGTGTAGCTCAGAGACAAATCATGAGTTTTGCAAGCTGCAGAACACAAGTTTAATTCTTGGCCTGCGTGTGTGTTTTATAAAAGACTGCTTAGCAGGGATGGTTAGAAAGGAGTAAAGTAGTCCTTGACCTACCACAATTGGGCCCGGGACCTCCATCCTTAAATGAATCCTGCCTGATTTTGCAGACATTTTTGCTGTGGTCATCAAGCGAATCCAGCTTCCCCATTGAGATACATACCTACAGTACATTCATTTATTAATTGGATTAATTAATTGGATTTACGTGCTGCCCATCTTGTCAGAAGTCCCTCGAGAGGTCGCAAATGGCAATCAAGTGACCCAAAAAATGCTGCAACCATTGTAAATAGATGTGGTTTGCTGAACATCTGAATTCTGAACATGTGACTGTAAGGACATTGTGACAGTCATGTGCAAGGACCCGTTGTAAATCATTTTTTTTTTCAGTGATACTGTAACTGAGTAAATTGTAAGTCAAGGACTACAGTATCTGTACTAGCCCATATGTTCAAATTAGAACTAGAGGTCCTTTCCTTTCGGCATGGAAAATGTAGTTTTTCTTTAATGAAACCTCTAATTGCACATCTAAGAGAAAAACTCTTTTCTTTCCAGCTGTGCAAAGTGCTCCTGAAATAGGAGAAAAATGGGGAAGAAGTTCATTTGCTATCGAAGCACCCAACAGAAAGCAGCCAAGTCTAGTTCACACCATCTTACGAAATCCCAGACTGGTGTTTAGTTTGCCATTTCGACAAATCCTTCAGCTTTTGCTTCCTCCTCTATCAAAGCTTTTGCCCAAGGAGGTCGAGATGGTAGACGATAATTCGCCCAAAGAAATCCGAGCTGTTTTGAAAAGTAATTTTCAGTTTATCCAGTGGTTCTGCCTTGAACGGGAAGCTGTAGAGGAAGCAGGAGTTAAGGAACGGAAGATGCGAATAGAAATAGAATAGAAATACAGTCCCTCCCCCAAAAAACATAACCGGGGATGAAGATCCTTTACGGAGGGGTTACGTGATGTACCTAAAATTATTTCTCATTACAGCAATGCATCTATAATGTGAACAGCAATAGCAATAGCACAATAGACAGCTTCATAGTGCTTGACAGCCCTCTCTAAGTGCTTTACAGAGTCAGCATATGTTCCCCCAAGAATCTGGGTCCTCATTTTACCGACCTCAGAAGGATGGAAGGCTGAGTCAACATTGAGCCAGTGAGAATCAAACTGCTGGCAGTTGGCAGAATTAGCCAGCAATACTGCCTTCTAACCACTGCACTGACACACACACAAACATATATATATAGGCCAGTGATGGTGAACCTTTTAGAGACCGAGTGCCCCAAAATTGGCCCTGCCCCCACTCCACCCCCTGCCCCGCCCCCACCCCGCCTGCCTGCAGGGCCATTCACTGCCTGCAGGACCTGCCGCAAATCACCCAGGCAGCCCAGCAGCACCAGGGCGGCCACGCCCTCTGCCCGCGCCCCGCCGCATCAACGGTGCACGATGGGGCGTGAGGGCAGAGTCTTGTCTATGCTGCCTGGCTGCCATGTCCTTGGCTGCGCTGCTTCGTGTGGGCCACACTCGGGGGGCGACTCTCCTCCAGGGGGGCTGCTGGTGAGGAGGGGGTTGCGGGGGCAGGCAAGGCTGGGGCAACAGCATGTGTGTGCCCACAGAGAGGGCTCCGAGTGCGGCCTCTGGCACCCGTGCCATAGGTTCACCACCACTGATATAGGCAATTGTTAAGTGAATTGCATCCAACTTTATGATCTTTTTTGCCATGGTTGTTAAGCAGATCATTGCAGTCGTTAAGTAAATCATGCAATCATTAAGCAAACCTGGCTTCCTGTATTGACTTCGCTTGTCGGAAGCCAGCTGGGAAGATTGCAAACGGTGATCACATGACCTCAGGACACTGGAACCATATAAATACACGCTGGTTGCCAAGGGCTTGGATTTTGATCCTGTGACTGGGGAGGCTGCAGGGGTTCGGTCAGAATCGAACTCCTGGCAGTGAGCAGAGTCAACCTGCAATACTGCATTCTAACCGCAGGGTAGCAAAGGCTTGATCTACTGAAGCATTGATCCCCAAGGCAGGGAGGAACATTCACAAGCATTTCAAGCAACAATGGGGAAGCTATTGTGGATAGAAAAGGTTGTGGGAATGCAAGGAGGAACAAAATAGGAAACAGAGAGGCAATTGCACCAGAAAACCCTGCAGGGCTGTGTATGACCCCTGGATCCACACATATTGTAATTTCGCTTCTTGGAGTTCTGAATTAGTCGATAAAGGATATCTGGAGAGAGTTGCTATCTTCAGGGTAGAATTCAGCTAGGGTGGAGAGATCTTCTGCTTTCCGGCCACCTTTGGAAATTTGAATGCAGAAAAACAAGATGCGCCGTTGTGAAAATATTTGGGAACTGTTTTTCGCTGGTATTATCAGGCACCCCTCACTTCATTAATGAAAATAATTTGGAAAGGAAAAGTACTGAGGAAAAGACAGTACGGGTAGTCCTTGACTTACAACTGGTTGTTTAGCGACCGTTCAGAGTTATGACAGACCTCCCCGGAGTTACTTACGACCAGGGCTTTTTTTCTCATAGAATGCCCAGAACGGAGGTCCGGCACCTTTTTTGGATGAAACCTCATAGGGTAGGCAAGGCGTGTTCTATGACATGTGTCAGTTCCGGCACCTTTTATTTTATTTTTACAAAAAAAGCACTGCTTACGACACAGTTCAGCTGACTCTCCATAATGTGGCCAGATGTTGATGTTTACAACCAGCCAGCATTTATAGCCATTTGCAGCATCCCACAGTCATCTGACCAGATTTATTTTCTGGCTTTGTTAAAAACTGGCATTTACTTCAGTTTTTTTGTCAAAATTGGCTAATTGGTTCGCTTGATAAATGGGGCACATACTTAATAACCGCTGCAAAAAAACAACAACAAAATCTGAAATCAGATCGGTCACAGGGACGACTTGATTTATGACTGTCAGACTTACAACCATGATGCTCCATTATGGTCATTGAGGACTATCTATATTGCAAGACTTCTTCTAGCCACTGCCTGATTCCAGCCAATCACCCTATTCCTGCTAGATGTAGTAAGCTATGATGGGCAAGCCAACTAGTCTATGTCATTGGTGTTTAAAAAATCAAATTCACCCAAAGAAATCTGATGAAGCCATGGATGTTTCTACAGACTGGACTAGCAGAACTGCAGAGTTTAAGCCATCACCAGTTTAATAGATATCAGGAAGAGTGCAGAGAAGAGCAACAAAGATGATTAGGGGACTGGAGGCTAAAACATATGAGGAACGGTTGCAGGAATTGGGTATGTCTAGTTTAATGAAGAGAAGGACGAGGGGGGACATGATAGCAGTGTTCCAATATCTCAGGGGCTGCCACAAAGAAGAGGGAGTCAAGCTATTTTCCAAAGTGCCTGAAGGCAGGACAAGAAGCAACGGGTGGAAACTAAGCAAGGAGAGAAGCAACCTAGAACTAAGGAGAAACTTCCTGACAGTTAGAACAATTAACTAGTGGAACAACCTGCCTCCAGAAGCGGTGAATGCTCCAACACTGGAAGTTTTTAAGAAGAGACTGGACAGCCATTTGTCCGAAATGGTGTAGGGTTCCTGCCTGAGCAGGGGGTTGGACTCGATGACCTCCAAGGTCCCTTCTAACTTTATTATTATTTTTATTATTAATATTATTATTATTAATAATATTAATATTATTATTACTACTACTACTACTATTTTGATTATGATGATGATGATGTCAGGGGTCCCCAACCCCCTGTCCATGGACCGGTACTGGGCTGCAGCAAGCCAGCAACTGGTCTGCACAAACAAGTAAAGCCCCATCTGCGGGATGCAGGCAGCACACAAAACCACGCACTCTCCGGTCCGTGGAAGAACCTCTCTCCACGGAACCGGTCCCTGGTGCCCAAAAGGTTGGGGACCTCTGGTCTAAGTGAACATATCACAGCAAGACACCAAGGGATCTCTCTGGTCTCTTACCTGGCCAATATCTTAAGGCCTTGAACCATTCCAAAAAAACTTCATGGGCAACTATGAGAAGACAGAATGGTGGGGGAGTGGGAAAATTCCTTATATTTTTCCCTTCAATGCGCCACAAAGTAAATTCAACAGAGCTCTTGTCAGTCCAAACTTTGTTTTTCTTCCCTTGGGTACTATTTATCTTATGTTCCCATCATAATCAGTAACAAGAGGCCAAACAAGCTTTGTGTGAAGGGAGAGACAGTCAGGAGTTAGAGAGAAGTACAAAATGAGGCATCCTTTAGGCCAGGGGCAGGCAACCTTGGCTCTTTTATGACTCATGGACTTCAACTCCCAGAATTCCTGAGCCAGCATGGCTCAGCTTGGAAACCTCTCCCTTTCCCCTCAGCATGGCTGGCTCAGGAATTCTTGGAGTTGAAGTCCACGAGTCATAAAAGAGCCAAGATTGCCTACCCCTGCTTTAGGCTTTTTAAGCACTGATTTGCTAATTTCCAACACTGGTCAGGTTTCTGCCCGAAATCTGATCATAAAAGCCTATTTTGCTGTTCTCTCAGCATCTAATAATAAAAAATATAATTTTTATACGTGAAGCACTTATAGCCAGCTTGTTAGTATGAAGTTTATTTTATACAGATTTCCACAAGTGGTTTAAAAAAACAACAACTCCGACCTGTATGCATCCTATTAATATACTAAATAAAATACTATTTTACTACAATACAGAAATACTAAATAAAAAACAAAATTAAACATTATATACAAGGTAAACATTTTCCTTGTCCAGTTTCCAATTCTAGGGGGCAGTGCTCATCTGTTTCTTAGCCAAAGGGGGGGGGACAATGTTGTCCAAAGATGCTTCTGTAGTCATGTGGCTGGCGTGACTATAGGCCGAGGCGCACGGAGTGCTGTTACCTTCCCACAGAAGTGGTACCTATTTATCTACTCACATTTGCATGCTTTCTGACTGCTAGGAGCTGAGGCAAATACTGGGAGCTCACCCCGTTGCGCAACGCTCAGGTCTCAAACCCAGGCCATCAATCTTTAACCCGGGGTAGGCAACCGTGGCTCTTTTATGACTCGTGAACTTCAACTCCCAGAATTCCTGAGCCAGCATGGCTCAGCTTGGAAACCTCTCCCTTTCCCCTCAGCATGGCTGGCTCAGGAATTCTGGGAGTTGAAGTCCACGAGTCATAAAAGAGCCAAGGTTGCCTACCCCTGCTTTAACCACTGAGCCACACGTTAAATGCATTTAAATATGTAAAATACACACACACACACACCTCTGTCTCTCAAATAGAAGAAGACTGGGCAAGGACATGCATTTTTAACTGTGGTGATTTTTTTACCTTGCAGAATGCATTTTCGGCTTGCAAATCCACCCTGAAACTGAATCTGAATTTGAGACGCCTGGATGGTCTGAGGAAATTCCAACGTCAGCCACTGGATGGCACCCTAATACAGCAAAAAAAAAAACCCAGGACATCATCAATTTAAGAGAAATTCAAACAAATAGAAAAATATAAAAGGGCAGATAGTATAAAAAGCTTTCTGTCCGAGTTCTCTCTCTCACACACACACATACACAGAGACAAAAAAAAGGCAGCTGCAACAGCCTAATGCAGAGGTCCCCAACCTTGGCCACTTTATGATTTGTGGACTTCAACTCCCAGAATTCCTCAGCCAGCCATGTTGGCTGAGGAATTCTGGGAGTTGAAGTCCACAAGTGATAAAGTGGCCAAGGTGGGACCCCCTGGCCTAATGGCTGTTTTTCAACCATGGCAACCTTTAAGATGTGTGGACTCCAACTCCCAGAATTCCCCAGCTTTTTTCACCCCAGCAATTCCCCAATTTGGGCCTGTCACTCTCTCCCACACCAGCCCAGGGTTGTTGTTGTGGAGAAAAATAGGCGGTGAGAGGAATATTAGATATCTTCACCGCCCTGAGATACTTATACAAAATAATAAAGGTGGGATAAAAATAAAATCTAATAGATAAACGTTGGCCTAGTTCGCAAATGAGTTGTAAGGTTCACAAGAAGCTTGTGTGAATGCTCCAGGCAACATTGTAGGATGTTACTTATAAGAGTTCACCTGGTCTGAGTTCCAACACGTTTCCTCATTTCCGTCAAACATGTACTTCTTTCCAAATTGCTTCACCTCTCGGTTGAGGACGGAGCTCACCCTAAGGGTGCAGAAAACAAAAGCCAGGGTGGAGAAGAGTTTCTTTTCCAGATTTCAACGCAAAGCTAACTGGTAGCACAGAAATTTTGCACTTTTAATTACAGAATAATAGAACTGGAAGGGGCCTTGAAGGTCTTCTAGTCCAGGGCTTTTCAACCTTTTCACCCATTGTACCACTTTTAGGATATGGCAATATCCGAGCACCACCAGTCGCAAGGGGTCAAAAACTTGATGACCAAAAAAAGGAAAAAAGTGATAAAGTACAGGTAGTCCTCGACTTACAACAGTTCGCTTAGTGACTGTTCGAAGTTACAATGGCACTGAAAAAAGTGCCCCCCAAGCCACAGCCGAGCAAGACACCTGCCTGCCTGCGCTCTTCCTCCTGACCGAGGTTTTCATTGTTGTGAGCATTTCTGTTGAGGATGGGCAACGGGGGTGGGGTGGGGGATATTTGGTTTTTATTCCCCCCCGTCTGCTGGGTGGTTGCAGCAGGTTTTGGTCACTTCACATGACCTGAGACACTGTGACCGTCATAAATATGAATCAGTTGCCAAGCATCTGAATGTAAATCACAAGACCCTGGAGATGCTGCAACATTCCAGCTGATCAGTGCTTCTTCTGGGTTTAGCAGAAGTGCCAGGATCAGTGCTGCTTTCCAGCTGATTGGTGCTTCTTCAGGGCTCAGCAGAAGCACCAGGATCAGCACCGAGCTCCAGCTGGAGCCTGGCGCCGATCCTGGTGCTTCCACTGAGCCCTGACAACCCTGCAGCTCCAGCCATCTCTCGCTCAGGCTTGTGCGGTGCTGCCACCGGTTCAGCTCATTCCCCTCCCCCGCTACTTTTCTAGGATGGTCGCGTACCACCTGCCAGGTGCCAATGTACCACAGGTGGTACCCATACCACTGGTTGAAAAGCCCTGGTCTAGTCCAACTCCTGCTTGAGTAGGCGATCCTATAGTACCATTTCAGACAAACGGTTGTCCAATCTCTTCTTGGAAAACCTCCAGGGATGGAGCACCCACAACTTTTGGGGGCAAGTCCTTCCACTGGTTAATGGTTCTCACCGATAGGAAATTTCTCCGTACGGATAGTCCTTGACTTACAACAGTTCATTTAGTGACCGTTTGAAGTTACAACAACACTGAAAAAAGGGACTTATGACCATTTTTCACACTTAGGACGGCTGCAAAATAGTCACGGGATCAGATGCTTGGCAACTGGTTCTTATTTACGACGGTTGCAGTGTGATCCCCTTTTGCGACCTTCTGGCAGGCAAAGTCAATGGGGAAGCCAGACTGACTTAACAACTGTGTTACTAACTTAACAAGGGCAGGAATTTACAAAGCCCTAGTACAGAGGTAGGCAACCTTGGCTCTTTTATGACTAGTGGACTTCAACTCCCAGAATTCCTGAGCCAGCATGGCTCAACATGGAAACCTCCCTGTCCCCTCAGCATGGCTAGCTCAGGAATTCTGGGAGTTGAAGTCCATGAGTCATAAAAGAGCCAAGGTTGACTACCCCTGCCCTAGTAAGACCACACCTGGAATACTGCAGCCAATTTTGGTCACCATATCACAAAAAAGATGTTGAGAGTTTGGAAAAAATTCAGAGAAGAGCAACTAAGACGATCAAAGGCCTGGAAACCAAAACATACGAAGAACGGCTGCGGGACTTGGGTTTGGCTAGTCTAAAGAAAAGAAGAAATAGGGCAGACATTGATAGCAGCGTTCCAGTATTTGAGGGGCTGCCACAAAGAAAAGGGGGTCACATTATTCACCAGAGCATCAGAGTGAAGGACGAGAAACAATGGTTGGAAGCTGATCAAAGAGAGAAGCAACCTGGAATTAAGGAGAAACTTCCTGACAGTGAGGACAATCAACCAGTGGAACAGCTTACCCCCAGAAATCGTGGGCGTTCCATCACTGGAGGTTTTTAAGAAAAAACTAGACAATCACCTGTCTTGAGATGGTGTAGGTTCTCCTGCTTGAGCAGGGGGCTGGACTAGAAGACCTCCAGGGTCCCTTTGAGTTCTATTCTATTCTATTCTATTCTATTCTATTCTATTCTATTCTATTCTATTCTATTCTATTCTATAGGCAAGAAAGGTTGTAAAATGGAGCAAAACTCACTTAACAACTGTCTCACTTAGCAACAGAATTTTTGGGCTCAATTGTGGTCGTAAGTCGAGGACTACCTGTAATTCTTGGTTGCATCTCTCTCTAAAATTCCATCCGTCGTTCTTAGTCCTTTCGAAAACGAAGATCCAAAGTTGCACTCACCTGCTTATAGTTTCAGAGCAAATCAAGGAAGACACGGCCATGACTTTTTCTTCCGGTCAGATAAAAAAAATAACAGAAGTGACTCGATGCCGAATGGAACACTGAGGGTGCACATGCATGTGTTCTTCCAAGGACTGTAGTCTATTTTATTAAAGAAGAATCAGAACAGAATGAATTTGGAACCAGTCTTATCAGATCATTCTTAGAACTAACACACATTTAGATATTCAACACTGTAGATCAGTGTTTCTCAACCTTAACAGCTTGAAGATGAGTGGACTTCAACTCCCAGAAATCCCCAGCCAGCACAGCTGGCTGGGGATTTCTGGGAGTTGAAGTCCATTCATCTTCAAAGTTGCCAAAGTTGAGAAACATTGCTCTAGACCAGGGGTCCCCAACCTATGAGCTGCGGACCACTAGCGGGCCGCAGAAATCGCTGGCTGGTGTGTGCATGCATGTGCGTGCATTCCCCCCACTCACACTTACGCCCGGGGCCGTTTGTGCATGCATGCGGGTGTGAATGGGGCTGCTAGCGCCGGGCGAGTGTGCACAGCCCATTTGCGCATGCATGAACGGAGCCGCTAGAGCCGCACCAGAATGTGTGGGCCTGTTTGCGTGTGCACACATGCACGCACCAATTTGGAAGCTGCTCTCCTTCCCTCCGGGCTGTGAGCCCGGAAACGCTGGGGACCCCTGCTGTAGACTACTTATAGCCTCTCTCTATTCTGGCCTTCCAAATTAAGTCCAAATCCTGCCTGCTGGATTTGATTGGACATACTAAGAAGTAACAAACACCCATTCCACATTTGAACTATGGTTTATCATTTATTGACGTTTAGCTTTGTTAGCTGCTCAGAGTTGCTGTAGTGGGACAGCCATCCATCTAAATCAGAGATCTCCAATCTTTCCGGGCTTGCGGCCTGGAGGGAAGGAGAGCAGCTTCCAAGTTAGTTCGCACACGCACGCAGATGGGGCTGTGCGCACCGGCACGGCCCTAGCAGCCCCGTTCATGCATGTGCAAATGGGCCGCGCACACCTGCTCAGTGTTAGTGGCCCCGTTTGCGCATATGCAACAGGCTGCGCACACCCCTCTGATGCTAGCAGCCCCATTCGCGCCCATGCATATGTGCAAACATGGCCGCAGGCGCTAGCACAAGTGGGGGGTGCGCACGCACGTACCGGCCAGCCATTTCTGCAGCCCGCTGGCCAAGAGGCCCGGTAGTGGGCCACAGCCCATAGGTTGGGGACCCCTGACCTAAATGGATCAAAGTAAACAAATAAACAAATAAAATTGCATTTCTATGGAGAACCACAATTAAGTGAACAATAGTTTTAAGGCAGAAACTGGACTTGTACTAGGAATGTACGGTCATGGAATAATTATTGGAACCGTAATTGAAATATGTTGACTCCTTTTAAGTCTTTAACAATAAACCCTCAGTGAGTTTAAACCTAAAATTGGATGTGGCCCTGTGATTTAAGCAGGTTTTAGTGTTACATCCAGTTTGGATAATTGTCATTTTATACTTTAAAGTATTGACTGTAATATTAGATCAGACATCTTCAAACCTGGCCCTTTTATGACTTGTGGACGTCAACTCCCAGAATTCCTCAGCCAGCGTGCCTGGCTGAGGAATTCTGGGAGTTGACGTCCACAAGTCATAAAAGGGCCACGTTTGAAGGCCCCTGTATTAAATCAATGTGGCCTAGTAGTTAAGGCACCAGGTTAGAAACTGGGAGATGGTGAGTTCTAGTCTCATTTCAGGCATGAAAGCTGGCTGGGTGATCCTGGGCCAATTACCAGGAGACAGTGAGTTCTAGTCTCGCTTTAGGCATGAAAGCTGGCTGGGTAGACCAGTCTCTCTGTCTCAGCCCAATCCACCTCACAGGGTTGATGTGGTAGGCACAATGGGGTAGGCACAATGTAGGCACAATGGTAAATGGTAGGCACAATGTAGGCTGCCTTGAGTTTTTTTAAAAAATAATAAAAGCAGGACATAAGTGGGTAAATAAGTAAATAAACAAAAGCCATTAAAGAGCAATATAAAGAGTGATCCATGCTGGGCTCTGTGAAGGCGGAACTATTCAACATATAGTGCAAATAGACCTAATAACAATAAAAACAATTGAATTTTATTTGTAGAATTATATGAGGTTTTTATTTTTACTGCTGGCCTCCCCATTTTATCTCAGTTCTAATTTTTTTTAAAATCATCCTACTCAAACATTATTTTGCAGCACAACATGTCGTAGTAAGTTGTTAAAGCTAATCAAGGATATTTTAATTAAAGTAATTCCAAAAAAAAGAGTCAAACTCTAGAGATGTAGCATGCGGTTATAGCTTATTGAATTAAATCACAAGTAACTGGATTTATACAGCCTGGTAAGCTCTAAACCACGATTTACAAAGCTGCAGCAGCTGTTTTTATATGATACGCTAATGCTAAAATAAAACTAACCACATTGTGGATTACCAGTAGTAGGATATCTGGGCCTAGCCAATAATGCAGGCTGTTCATTTTAGTATAGTTTTTGTCCTCCACATATCTGAACTTCAGTTCCCAAAATTCCCCAACTAGCACAACCAAGTCTCTGCTAAGGATTCTGGGAACTGAAGTCCACACATCTGCCTAGGCAAGGGGTAGGCAACCTTGGCTCTTTTATGACTCGTGGACTTCAACTCCCAGAATTCCGGAGCCAGCATAAAAGAATCATAAAAGAGCCAAGGTTGCCTACCCCTGGCCTAGAATAACTAGGTAGATAGGCTTTAAAAAAAAATCTGTGTGATTTATGAAGCCACCCACTTATTATATTTAGTCTTAAGCCAGGGTTTAAAAACATTATTTTTAATTAGGCTTTAAACTGAATTAATATTTTAATTAAACCATTAACACCTTAATGGCAAAAGATCTAAAGCAGTGTTTCTCAACGGTGACAATTTTAAGGCATGTGGACTTCAACTCCCAGAATTCCACAGCCAGCAATGCTGGCTGTGGAATTCTGGGAGTTGAAGTCCACATGCCTTAAAATTGTCAAGGTTGAGAAACACTGATCTAAAGGTTAGGCTTTAACATTAGTATGAACAGAGTCACAATCTTTACCAGGATTTTACCCCCAGGAAATCTTTTTTCCCCCTGCAGAGTTGTGTCTGTCAGGGGGCCAGTTTTAATTTATTTAAATCGTTTCTAAGCTATCTTTGAAGATAAAAATCATCCTAGTATTCAGAGATATGCCAGCTTCTCACAACACAATATATAGATCTTTTCCTGTTTATTGTGTGCGAGCTCTAACCAGGAATTTAGTCCCCAAATCAATGTTTTTCAAGCTTGACAATTTTAAGTGGTGTGGACTTCAACTCCCAGAATTCAACAGGGCCGGCTGGGGAATTCTGGGAATTGATGTCCACTCCTCTTAAAGTTGCTAAGCTTGAAAAACACTGATCTAGATCCAACCTTTCCCCTCCTTTCCAGCATGGAGATTTAAGCAACAGTTCTTTTGACTAAGCCAGGGGTCTTCAAACTTGGCCCTTTTACGACTTGTGGACTCCAACGGCTGAGGAATTCTGGGAGTTGAAGTCCACAAGTCATAAAAGGGCCAAGTTTGAAGACCTCTGGCCTAAGCAATTGCATGCACAAAAAGCAACCGGCTTTTCATACTGACCTCCAAACTTTGCAGAGAGGAGCAGACACCGAAAATGACATCGATACAGCCCGTTTCTTAGAAATATTTCTTATTCTCTCCCATCCAGGCAGGAGAACAAGATAGAGAATCAGGAACAGAAGCAAAGAGCAGGAGAAACTCGCCTCGTGCCATCTACGCTTCCGGTTTCCTGAAGCCCTGGAAACTCTTAAAGAGACACGACGGAAAAGATCTGAAAAAATATATACATATAAAATCCAAAATTGTAGGTTGCGTCACCTGTCGTTCTCCACTAGGTGGCGGTAGCCGCGCAGCGGTGAGAAAATCAGGACGGTATTTAAAGCGGAGTTACGCAGCAATAACAACGATGCAAAATTGCAGAATAAATTTCCAGGAGGCTTAAGGGCAAGCTTGTTAGGCGGTGAGATTCTTTTTTGCAAACTGAGAAAAATTACAGTAACAGTAATAATATAATAGAGTTAGAAGGGACCTTGGAGGTCTTCTAGTCCAACCCCCTGCTCAAGCAGGACACCTATAGTATACCTTTCTGGACAAACGGCTTTAGCTTTGCGATGGCTGGTGCGGGTGAAATTAGAGCCTCCATAGACAGGCAGTTTACCCCTGAGTACAGGTAGTCCTCGACTTACAGTCACTTTTGGCCCTTTTATGACTTGAGTCCAAAATTGCAAGGCAGTTGTTAAGTGAAAACAATGATTTATGATTGGTCCTCGCAGTTATAACTGCCACAGCCCTTAACAACTGCCCTGCTTAGCAACAAAAATTCTAATCCCAATTGTGGTTGAAAGTCAAGGACTAACTATAATTTGAATCTGGTCATCTCTGCCTTGGATGAGAAGTCTGGGCCGATTTGTTCAGTGATCCATCACAGGGGTCTCCAAACTTAGCAACTTTAAGACTTGTGGACTTCAATTCGCAACTTCTTCAGCCAGCATGAAGAAATCTGGGAGTTAAAGTCCACAAATCTTAAAATTGTCAAGTCTGGAGACCCCCTGATCTGTCAGTTTGTTTTCTTGTCTGTCCATGATCTTCTCCAAAACACCAAACTTCAAAAGTCTCAATTCCTATCCTGCTTCTTCAAAGTCCAAAATTTAATAATGTGGGAAGTCAGCCCCCAAGAGAAGGAAATATTAAAAGGGCAAAAATATATATTTCCTCATAGGATCTTAAAAGAGGCAGAAAAGCATGCCCAGTTTTTCTGTCTCCCTCCACCAAGCAGAAACCAGCTCTATAGAAATGCAGATGTAAATCCAGGAAGGTTGGAGCTAGAAGCTTAGGAAGACAAAGACACCTAAAATCTACATACCCCACCCAAAGTCTAAGACAGGACATATTAGGATTAACTCACAGATGCCAAAGGGACACAGGTCGGAATACATGACACAGTAACAAAATGAAATTCAATGGTGAAAAAAGTAAGGTTCTACATTTAGGCAAGAAAAACCAAATGTACAGGTATAGTATAGGGGGTACCTTGCTCAATAGTAGTAACTGCAAGAGGGAACTCCGAGTCCTAGTGGACAATCACTTAAATAGGAGCCAGCAGTGTGATGCAGCTGCCAAAAAAGCCAACACAGTGCTAGGCTGCATTAACAGAGGGATAGAATCAAGATCACGTGAAGTATTAATACCACTTTACAATGCCTTGGTAAGGCCACACTTGGAATACTGCATCCAGTTTTGGTCACCACGATGTAAAAAAGATGTTGAGACTATAGAAAGAGTACAGAGAAGAGCAACAAAGATGATTAGGAGACTGGAGGCTAAACCATATAAGGAAAGGTTGCTGGAATTGGGTATGTCTAGTTTAATGAAGAGAAGGACGAGGGGGGACATGATAGCAGTGTTCCAATATCTCAGGGGCTGCCACAAAGAAGAGGGAGTCAAGCTATTTTCCAAGGCGCCTGAAGGCAGAACAAGAAGCAATGGGTGGAAACTAACCAAAAAGAGAAGCAACCTAGAACTAAGGAGAAACTTCCTGACAATTAGAACAATTAACTAGTGGAACCACCTGCCTCCAGAAGCAGTGAATTCTCCAACACTGGAAGTTTTTAAGAAGAGACTGGACAGCCATTTGTCTGAAATGGTATAGGGTTTCCTGCCTGAGCAGGGGGTTGGACTAGATGACCTCCAAGGTCCCTTCCAACTTTATCATCATCATCATCATCATCATCATCATCATCATCATCATCATCATCATCATCATCATCATCATTATTATTATTATTATTATTATTATTATTATTATTATTATATTCTACTTGAATAAATTTTTATCCATCCGGAAACTGTCTTAGGTCCCTTTTTAGCAGCCCCATCCAACGTACTTCTGACTCATATCTGGTTTGCATATCACTCCTGTTCCAAAATTGTTTGAAAAGCACCATCCTCAGATCAGGGATCCTCCCGTTCGTACACCTGCATATTTAATTGCTGCTTCCTTCATGGAGAAATTGCATTTGCAAATTGCACGCTGTGAATTTTGCAGCACATTTTACCCAAGGCAGGAGGGGCTGTTTTGAACGTTGTTTCTGTCTGCAGGTTTGAGAAGCGTTTCCTCCACCTCTTCAGCCGAGCAATTAAGAAAAAGGAGCACAAAAAAGAGGCTACGGAACTGAACCTTGGGCCACCCCCCTCCCCACTCCGTTCCTACTCCCCGTTTTAATGAGGAATTGCTGAAGAGCCCTCTTGGATACTGTTTTCAAACCAACTCTGGATCTCCTTAATTGTCATGCCATGCAACCCCGCTTGCAAATTGAACTCTGTCGTATCTGAAAAGAGCCACATTAGTCCATTCTCTGCTCAAGTGCTTCTCATTTGAGAATTCACAACACGAACGCAGGGTGGTTCTTTTCTATTTTTTAAAAAATATGTCCTTCTGGACTGAATAGTCCCCTTGTGTCTCCACTTAGGAATGGCTCCTCCGTAGCTCAGGAAATTAGCTTTGTGACTTTGCTATCCCAGATTGACCTAGAGCAGTGATGGCGAACCTTTTAGAGACCGAGTGCCCAAACTGCAACTCAAAACCCACTTATGCATCATCGGGTGTCGGGTGGGTGTGGCCCATTGGGTGGGTGTGGCCCATTGGGTGGGCGTGGCTGCGGTGGTAACGGCAGGCTGGGTGGGACTAAAAAGTTCAATCAATCAATTCCAACTTTACAAGATCTTTTTTTTCCCACGAGATGTTGAAATTGACTGATTGATTGAACCTTTTTTTTTTTTTTGGCACACAGCGGTGGAGGCCTAAAGCGAAAAGCTTTTATAAAAGCCAGCTGAAGGCCTAGGACTGGGGCGACGGTGCGCGTGCCCACAGAGAGGGCTCTGAGTGCCGCCTCTGGCATCCATGCCATAGGTTCGCCAACACTGACCTAGAGGGAAGAGAATGTGAATCTCACGATTTGGGCAGGTTCCAAGTTAATAATAATAATAATAATAATAATAATAATAATAATAATAATAATAACAACAACAACAACAACAATAATAATAATAATAAAGTTGATTAATTTCCATCCGTTGAACTTCTATCCGAGTTCAGGGAGAGTACAGAGAAGAGCAACAAAGATGATTAGGGGACTGGAGGCTAAAACATATAAGGAACGGTTGCTGGAATTGGGTATGTCTAGTTTAACAAAGAGAAGGACGAGGGGGGACATGATAGCAGTGTTCCAATATCTCAGGGGCTGCCACAAAGAAGAGGGAGTCAAGCTATTCTCCAAAGCACCTGAAGGCAGCACAAGAAGCAACAGATGGAAACTAACCAAGGAGAGAAGCAACCTAGAACTAAGGAGAAATTTCCTGACAGTGAGAACAATTAACCAGTGGAACAACCTGCCTCCAGAAGCTGTGAATGCTCCAACACTGGAAGTTTTTAAGAAGAGACTGGACAGCCATTTGTCTGAAATGGTATAGGGTTTCCTGCCTGAGCAGGGGGTTGGACTAGATGACCTCCAAGGTCCCTTCCAACTCTGTTATTCTAAAGAACAGGCAAGGAGGCCCTGCTTCTTGTGACATGACACAGCTTCCCTGCAGAGATGTATTTATCTTTATTTTTCGAGCAAATTTATACACGTCTATTAACATGCATTAATACCTTAAGTTTATATTTATTGAGCAAATTTGCATATTACTAATATGTATTAATACCGTAAATGTATATTTATTCAGCAAATTTGCATATTTGTATTAAGATGCATTAATATCTTAAATTTATATTCATTTAGCAATCTTTATATATTTATACAGAGATCAGGATTGGCTCCCTCTTTGTGGGTCTCTTAGAAACTTTTGAAGACTGACTGTTTCAGAGGCCTTTCCCTTGACTGATGCTGCCATCTTATTTATCCATATTTTATTTATCTTTTTTAAAATAATCTCAAATAAGGTTGTCTTTTGTATGACTTACAGGGCTGTTGCACAGGTAATCCCCAACATTCTTATAATGCAGTGGTGGCGAACCTATGGCACGGGTGCCAGAGGCGGCACGCAGAGCCCTCTCTGTGGGCACGCGCGCCGTCGCCCCAGTCCTAGGCCTTCAGCTGGGTTTTATAAAACCTTTTCGCTTTAGGCCTCCGCCGCCGTGTGCAAAAAAAAAAGGTTCAATCATCAGTTCAAACTTCTCGCGGGAAAAAAAAAGATCTTGCAAAGTTGGAATTGATTGATTGAACTTTTTAGTCCCACCCAGTCTGCCGTTACCACCGCAGCCACGCCCACCCAATGGGCCACGCCCAGCCAGTGGGCCACACCCACCCAATGGGCCACACCCACCCGGCACCCAACAATGCATAAGTGGGTTTTGGGTTGCAGTTTGGGCACTTGGTCTCTAAAAGGTTCGCCATCACCGTTATAATGGAACCTGCCTGTTACAGTCATAGGTCCCAATAGTTGGAAAGTGGCTTATCAAATTACCAGGCCCAATTCCACAAACCCTTTTTTGTGGACATCAAAAAGCAAATCTACTGTTTGCAATGGGGCGTTTTTGCCGGAAAACAGAAGTAAATGCTGCGTTTTGGGGAAAAAAACAGTCCTAAATTGTGGTCAAGGGATCGCAGGACTCTGCAAACATCCTGGGGAGCACCTAAAATTTGATCACATGACCATGGGGGGGTTGCGGCCTTTGAAACCAGGTCTTAAGTAGCCACGGAGAGGTCTGTCATAACT